TCTATTTACAAAAAAAGTGACACGAGGTGAAAGAAAGGAGATCATTGAGATGGGTACTAATGTTCAAGATTTAATTTGCGATTAAGCAAGTTAATCTGTGGTTAGATGTTGAGAGAATGACTAAAAGATAAGGGGATATAAGTAAATATAATATAAAAGAAAACTTGGCAGGATTGAAAGCATCGTACGTAGATAATCAAATAATTGTCTTACAAATCCACTAAATTTGTTAAAATTTTAGCCAACATTCTCAGAATAAAAATAATTTGAATCACGTAACAACACAAGATTCATCGAAACATTAGTAAAATGTACTTAGTCATCAACGAAGTCAAAAGTCAAAATACTTTTTCCAGTCGCTTATTGAATAGTGTAGAGGTGTAGATAACCTGTTTTTTACTTTTGTTAAAGATTTATTAAAGCAGTTAAAGTACTTATTATAACGTCTTTATTGCAAATCAGATACATTATGAAGACTTAATAGTTATTAAGTAAGAAGACTACCATCAGTTTCTACAGGCAATCTGTAATTATTTCTACATATCCGCCATTTAATATTACACTAAGTAATTACCATTTCACCCATAATTTCATAAATTAACCGCTCTATTTGCCGTAAAACCTTTTTAGATATATTATGTGATATATCATAGGTATAAGTCCACGTAAATTGCTTGCAAAGTGAAATGAAAACACAATATTGAATGTGCTAATAAAAAGTTAATTAATATGTGCTATAGATTATTTATTGACCACAATTCTAGTAATGTATCAAATAGTTTGATGCTCACGACTTAAGAATTATATTTGTTGCAGAACATTTTTCAGTATTAACAAAAAAAAAAACTTTTGTGTTTTTGTAATGTTCTGATTCTAGACCAAATCAAATATGAAAATGAGTGTATGAAAGGTACTTAACACTTACTATTTATGTAACTATTTAAATTGTCAAGAATGCACCGATCCCCAATATTTAAATTATTTCAAGTATGTTATATGCATGAACCTGCTTTCACTGTAACTTTTCTACATTTCGGTTTATAATTTTCCGTTATTGGTAACATTCTCCAGTCATTCTTTTTTAATGCAGTATGCAAGCATACATCTACATATTTTCTCAACTGTTTTCCTTTCAAATTTTATTTCGATTTGCATATTTACAAGTTCGCTAATTAGTCTCAACTGCTTTTATAATGTTTACAAATAAATAATGGTTGTTGATACTTATATAAATAAATAAATAATTTGTTAATATGCGGAACTAAGTCAGCCAATGAATTTCATGAAGGAAAAAGGACGATATAGTTTTGTATTTAATATGCCAAAAAATACCTGTTCGAACAAATTCGAAATTATAAAACCACAGGTCATAGTTCTACCAATATTTCCCTTCTTATTTAAAAGCCTTATTTAAAAACAAATGTAAAGACCGTCGCGCCAAAATAATTTCAGGTTTAAAAATAATACTACCAATTACGATTCGTTATTATTGTCAGTTATTGAATGGACATCGCAATGAAACTCCACCATAATACAGGGTCGGAAAGTCCCCATGGTTCATCGGCCGTTACGTGAGAGCGATAAAGTAAGTCATAGAAATCCGTGCGATAGAAAAAGATGGCTATAATGAAGGCGTCTAATAGTCACCGCCCATTTCGCCCTACCACAAATAAGAAGTGGATCTTATTGTGTCACTGAACTAGCAATTAGTTTAATACAAAAAACATGGATGCAGCTATTCACCTCATTTTATCTAAGAGACGATTCCAGACGTTCTCAACAATTTTTAAATATTTTGATCATATCATCATTTTAAGCACTGTTTTGCAGTTTCAACTGTTTTGGTTATTGGAAATACTTATTATTAATATATTTTACTTGCCACTATAAAATTATCTTTAATTTTCTTTAACTATCACTTTTTGACCTATTGGCACTTTTGCAAATGGGCAAATCAATCTAAAACACCGTAAGAATAATCAAAAATCTTATCAGCTTTCTAAGATGCTATTTCACCCAGACTTACCACTCAATACCCTTCAGTTTCGCCACCTCCCTTGTTCGGTACCCGGCAAATTACGTCTAACGCCGTCACAATCCGAATTAATCATCGAGCGTGCTGCGTCGCATCAAATATCGATGTTTACAATTCCTATTAGGTAGATACGGTTGATAATCAGGCAATACGACAGTAATAATTGTTGTCGGGTCATCTAATAAACAACACACTGCGGGTAAATGCATTCGAACTGCACCATATGCGCTTCCCTAATCAAAGACTGTTTATCGAGGATCGTCGATCGATATCAGCATACGCGTGGTGCGGTAATGGAATTGCTTTTACTGTCTTTGTCAGAAATATTTTGAAGTTATTGGAAAATCGAATTGTCATGATCTTGAGGTGCCCGCCTCAATCGTCTCGTCTGAAACGAGTAATCAAACTTAATTTTCGTTTTACAGGGTTTAAAGTAAAAATAAAATAATATTTGTATTTTGTCTAGTGTATGTACTTTATAAAACTTAGATGCCTTGTAGATATTACATTTATTTTAAGGGCGCCATATTTTTTAATTAGTGTTTCCACAAAGACAAATAATTTCAAACATTTAATAACTGAATAATTGTTTATTTTTATTTATAAGTACGTGAAAATAATTCTTAAAATCTGGGGTTAGGATAATAGCAAACGCATGTTTTACAAGCGCTTTTTTAGTTATTATTTTATTTGAGTAAATTTAAATAGTAACAATGAATAAACGGAACATCAAGGTTTTTATTTTTGTGCTTACTTTTGTTCTACACGTTTTACTTTTCAAGATTTCAGTACCTAAAAACGCCAGAAATTTGACTATTTCTCGGCCAGGGATATGGCCACCTTAAAGACATTTTAGAAATAATTTACCTCTTTTTTTGGAAAATAATGAAATCATCGACATTTTCGGAATGACATTTTCTTCACAATTGTAAAATTTGACTGATTTGCGGGAATGTAGCAAAAGTAACACAAAAAATAAAACAAAATAATTTATCCAATGATATAAACAAAACATTACTCATTTATTATTCCAAGAATTCGCCATCAGGTGGCTGGAATCAGTAATAAGGAGTTAAAATGTCAATGACGTTTAAATCGAGTTTTGTTTTAACATCTACCATCCACCTACTTCGGTGTTGGCATTAGTAACCGTTTAATCGAAACTAACTGTTTTTAAATCAGACATTTTTGATGAATTGTTCGCTTTATAAGTGCCAATTTGAAAGTGATATAAAACAAACTAAGAAACTCACTTTTATTTTCAAATTCGATTCAAAGAATTCTATAAACACAGCGTAAAAACAATTTGTTGAATAGAATCGCGCCAAAGGTGGCCATATTCCTGGCCGAGAAATAGTGAAATTTCTGGCGTTTTTAGGTACTGAAATCTTTAAATGTAAAACGTGTAGAATAAAAGTAAGCACAAAAATAAAATCCTTGATGTTTTGTTTATTCATTTAAACTTACCCAAATAAAATAAGAACTAAAAAAAGCGTTTGTAAAACATGCGTTTTCTGTTATCCTAACCCCACATTTTAAGAATTATTTTCATGTACTTATAAATAAAAGTAAACAATTTTATATGTAGGACTAAGCAAGTAAATGTTATAAGAATATTTACATGTGGAGTTATATATAAAAAAGTTAGTATTTTCGTAGATTTCAGTACCTAAAACCTTGATTGTTTGATCGTTTTTTGCACCTGTTTATTCGTTTTACTGCAGCGTCTTTGAAAATACTCAGGTGGCATGACATAACATTCCTATTATTTGATAAGGTTTAGATTATTCAGTTATTAAATGTTTGAAATTATTTGTCTTTGCGGAAAACACTATTTAAAGAATATGGGGCCCTTAATGAAATAGTAAACACAAACTTGCTGCTCTAGCAAGCCATGAAATATGTAGTACACATTATTGGTACCGTTAGCGCCTTATTGCCATTTACCACCTGTTGTCCGTTGTAAAAACCGTGTACGAACTATGTTTCTTGGTTAATTATTTACATCTTCCGTGTCAAGCTGATATATGGATAACCTACTGCGAAAGAAATGGCACAACTGCGGCTTTTATTCTGGTAAAGTTGTAGGTGGCGTAGAAAATATATATAGCCTTGATAAATAATAACAAGCCACGTGGACAGTAATTTCCTTGTTGTATTACCATTAGTCGCCACTGAACATCAGTTTCATTAATTTCTGTTAGATTTTTTTGCTGCATTATTGTTTTTTTAAAGCATAGTACTCCTCTTTTTAATTTGGAGAACTCCACAGAACAATGTTTTTTTGAAATAAATAAATAAATAAAAACGCAGATATTTTTTTACGGTTATTTTAAAAAGTTTGTTCTCAACCAAACACTATAGTAGGATCGTATTCGATGTAAACTAGAGCAAACAATTGTCGGTCTTTTATCAACGGAAAATCGTGTTATCATTTTTAGGAAGCGTAAGATGAACCATTTCAAATTTAAAATGAAATTGAATGTAAAATCTGAAATACCGCTTCAAACGCCCTGTGTTCTGCTGTAGTCGCCCAGGTGCATCGAGTGTACGAAGTGGTCGGTTATACGTCAAATACTAACCTGGCGAGCTTGGTCGTAAATCAGAGACCACCTCTAAAAAACAAGTAAACAACAGTGACGTGTACTGAGGTGAAATGTAGTACATGGAATTTAAAAAACAAATTGGACTTATGATAAATGCCTTTACATAATGCATTTGTTTTTCATTTTGTCCTTCATAAGTACATAATTGTTAATCCATAATGCATTAAAAAGATATTCAATTTCTAAACCCCTTAAAACCGTACTGCACTGGATCCCTTGACAGGTAATGATTTATTACTTTGCATCGAATATGATCCTACCATTACGTATCTCTTTATAAACTATTCTTCGCTGTTTTTTGGATATTTACACTACATTCTATACTTATTTATTAATATATTTTTTTTATTGCAGGGTAGTGCCGGAAAGAGCGCGCCATACTACATGGGATCGACTGCTAGTCTACCAAGAGGAGCCACCCTCCTGAGAACCTACTCTCCGGCGGTGGCTGCCATCCCCGCGGAACGCATCAAAACTCTTCCTACGGGTACGTAGACCTGGTCTTCACAGCTTGTGGTTCTGTGAATGGAGAATGACGACTCCTAGTGTCCACACAAATTTGATTTCACACCACAGCATGAGTTGTAGGAAAAACGTGTGCATAGGTGGCTTGTAGGGGATTTGTATTGTAAAATGGAGTTGTGTTGTGGTAGAACGTGATCATACAATCAGTCCCATTAATATCCCGATAATCTCATAATCACTAAACGATTATTTGAGACAAATTAATGTATTGTATAGGTACCAGTGATAAAAACTGCCAATATAAAATTATATTAACATAAACTACAATAATTATTTTTATTCACAATCACTTTTTAAATCTGACTTTTATCCGCACTTATGAACCCTCTAACTAAAGTGATACTTTATCCACTGGTGGAATAAAGTAACTTTATTTCTCAGTAGAGTAATGAAAAAAATAATAAACCCATAAGTAAATCAAAATTAATTTATTTACTTATTACCATCAACATTTACATTTATAGTAATAGAAATATATTTTCTGAATATTTCACCAGCATTCACGCAAAATCCTTCTTCTATAATTATAATTTTCTTGAAATGCCCGCCTTGATGTTAGGTATTGAAACAAGTAAGTACCTGCCAACGTCCTCTACGTCACTAATTTTCAAATTTGTCAATTCGCAGCATCAACAGGCACCAAAAATTCCCATTATTAGTGCAACCTAAAATAATTCAAAGTTCACTATATACCTAACAACATGTAAAAGGTAAAGAGATATTACCTTAGTCATTAAATATTCTTTATTGGAAGCCCCAGTCAAAAATTCTTCAATATGTGCTCTTTCTAATACACCTCTCGATTCACTCTTCAAATAAGCAGTAAGCTTGTTATATTTTCCAATATCTATATTTTTGTAGACCTTTATAGCCTTCAACATCGAATACTTCGACCACATAGATGAAATTGCATATTTTTTCTACAAATTTAAAAAATACGAAAGCATGACACTTCTTCGTAATGTTCCCTGGATTTCGCTGGCAATAAATGGAAAATTGCTTATTGAGTTTCTTGAAAAACAGCCACAGGAATACAATTACTTTCTTGCATTTTTACCAAATTCAGATAGAACTGTTTATTAAATAATTGATAATAAACAACGTACCATAGCAACTAGTGATGATTGTGATGTGATTATGGATAAAACGTTGTATTGCATTCGTGTTTTAATTGTCTTTTATCCAATTAAGAATATTAAACGCTCCAACTACGGTTTCGCGTTTAAACATCCGTGCGTGAATAAAATGCTACTTAAAAACACTTATACAATAAATAACTATTTTCGATAACTGTCATAAAATGTTAATAAATTTCTTAAGTGTTAAAAAGACACTGATTCGAACTAAACAAACTTTTTTGTTCAAGGGAAAAAATATTTTTTTAAATTTATTTCAATTGAACAAATTTTATATCTGAAATTAATGAACTCGCACTATTTTCTTTGTTCGAAAACTGCAATTAGGAATTTCCATTATAATGGATTAATATTCTTCGACACTTGTAAAATCAATTTCACTTTCCTTCAATTTAACACTCGACTCCTAATATTTTGACACTATTTTTTTCTTGAGGTACACAGAATTTCTTTGCTTAGGGAAATTTCACATTTTGAAATTTTTTGGACGCCTTGTATGTTTTATTACATATTTGATTAGGTACTGCCCATGACTTCCCAAGATAAGCAAAACTTTATCAGGAATAACTTTTATCAACAATAAAAAGAGTGCGGTTCCCCATCTGGGCACACGCTGTATGTACAAATAGAGGGTAGACCAATACAGGGTGTCCCACGAAACAATAAACATATTTCAGTGACTACTTCGATTTTAATTTTGAAAATTTGGTCAATATGTAGCGTTTTCGGTCCTACTTATTATCTTGTGTCAGCATTTGAATAAATTGACAACAATAAACTGGTGACAGATTACGTGCTTGTTTTGAAGTTCCACTAAAAATTTCACAGCAATCCTCGAAAGAAATTATGCGATATCCGTTGACTGCACGAACAACAGTAAATACCTTAAAAACCAGAAGAGGGAACCATTATACGATTCGAAAGAGAACAAAATTGTTCATCGGGTTGCGCAAAAATATACAGGGTGTTCCATTTAAAAAAATAAGTTAAGATGGCTTAAAGTTGACTAAATTCGGCATTAAATTTCTACCACCCTGTATGAAATTAAGTCATTTTGAAATTATGGCTGGGAAGCTTAGAGCTTTAGTTATGTCCCCTATAAATTTTATCGCTCTAACTTTATTACTGTAAAATACACATCTTTTTGAATTAGGCAGTGCTTTTTTAATTTTTTTTGAAATAAATTAATTATATCAAAAACGGTTAACTTTAAGAATAGGGAACCTTTATGAAAGTTCACTTAAAAAATTGACGTAGAATCCAAAATTGCAATACTATACAGGGTGTTCCATTTAAAATAACGAAGATGACGTCAACTTCCGTTATAACCAGAAGCGTTATTTTATATTTTAGTTGAGAAGGGCATTGCCCAAATTTTCAAAATTAAAATTGAAGTAGTCGCTGAAATATGTCTAATGTCTCGTCACCATGGGACACCCTGTATAAGCAGAAAAATTAATTGCCTATCACATTATTAAGAAGTATGCACTTCGACCATATTTGGATACTTTCTTGCGATTACATTGAGTTAGGTTTGGTGGGTCCGTATCTAATTAATTGCAAGCCAAAAGGGTATGTCGTTAATCTGTTATGCCAAAGAAAGTCTGAATTTGCAAACTTTCGTGGCGATTGTGATATTTATGGTGCAGATCAGCTTGTATGTACCTATATTGAGCAAAAAAGAAGTCAATTGGTGATATATCTGTTTGTTGAAAGGTATTATAATATAAATAAACTAAACGTAACATATATAATGTAGGTACCTATATAAAGTGGTTACTAAATTATTCATAGTTAAAAATAAAATGTGAGAAAATAAATAATGGAAACACCATTTCTTCAAAAGATTTAACCACTTCACTAAATAACACTGAAGCTTAAATATATAATTAATGACTTGCTTTGTAATATTTCCACGCATTCATTGAAATGTAAGCATGTGTATGTTTCCCGACTGTAGCATTAATTCACATATTTTAAGCCGGAAGTCAGTGGCACCAGTTTAGGATTTATACGGTAATTAACTTGTTAATTACCTTGCAAAAAAGATCTCTTTGTATTTAATCTCCACATTTAATTAATGTATCATATAAATTCGTTTGAATTTTAATTACAATCTCAGAATACTCATCACCAGGACAAAGTTAAATAAACCAATATTGTTTATTAAATATTTTTTGGAACAGTGACAATAATTTTCCACAGTATTAAACTAATACTCTTCTCTCTTACAAACAATTTTATATATTTTTTTTAATATTAAATTACGATGTATTACGATTTAACTCCTAAACGGTGTCTTGGCTTCGAATAATCTGTACATATTTATGGAATAGTATGGTCGTCTCTAGTTTAAATATTTCACATACATCAAAGCTTTCTTCATGGCGAACAGGTGGACAAAATAAATAGACGTCTGAGGTATCTGCACCATTGAACTTTGAACCTTTATGGTACAGATATATTCAACAAATATTACGCAATTTTAGTGTGAACAATATTTAATATTTCGGGTACAAGAATTCAAAATTAAAATTCTCTTTTGGTAATACGTTTTAAAATAATAAAAAATTGTATTTAAAGATAGCATTAATTGCGAAGTGCACAATTTTTGCATGTGGATAGTTTTTTGACAATAGATGAGGAAAAAAATGTCCTGCACAGGAGCGGACCGGGGAAATTGGGGAAATGGCCGGAAAACATAAAAAAAACTTATTTCGTGATTAATTTGAAGTGTTGAGAATTTCACAAACATTCATAGAATCAAAGTTGTAGAGCATAAAATTCTCTACAAAAAAGATTTCTATTGACTTTTTCGTACATGGGGTTATTTCAGAGATATTTATGAATTTACATAAAGTGACAATTCTTATGCAAATCGGACGGCTTGGTACAGGTACCTTAAGCAATCTTTCTTGTCTCTTCAATTTACAATAATAATAGAAAGCAAATAGTTTTAAGTAACCTGTTGAACTTGTATTGAACAAACCACCATGAACCATGAACAAAGTTGTCACCCCAAACCACGAGGATGCTCACAGCAACTCATGCTTTAATACCACCACCACCCAAAACAACAAAAAAAAATAAAACCCTAGTGTCAATGATCTAATGGTAAGACGGTGTAACGTGTTAAGGTGCGCCCCCCAAACCGCAGCGAGCGTACAGCACTGGGGCGCCGCGGTCGAGTGATGGCCCACCTAGACCTCCAGATCGATTCGTCCCATTCCAAAGGCCCGCCAACCCCTTATATAACATACCAGGTGGGTCAACACCACCTAACTTCTGCGTTCCGTGGACTCTTCTCCTAGCAGAAAGGAATCTGAGCCTTTTTAATACACGACAAAACTAAAATAAACATTAATTAATACCGTTCTTTGATCAGGAGTTGTCAATTTTCAAAAAATAATTATTTTAAACAAACAAATGAGCGTCTCAGTATTTGTTGCATCCGTATTAAGGTTAAAGCTAGGAGTAGTTTTTCTTTTAACTGATCCATCTATGCTCAAGTTATCCAGCAAATTGAAAACGCCTTTTGTTGGAAGTTGTAAGTAACAATGTACGAGATAAGAGTAGTATTTCACTACTATTTCCATTTATGTATACTTACAAAATATTCTGGCTGAAATAATTCGACATACATTGTACCTACTATTCTGTCAATAAATGCAAAAACTTTTATTTTTGCAGCAACAAAGTTTGATTGAACGCTATTCAGTTTGTTAACAAAAATATAGATAAATAACGAAAATAAATTGCAAATAAAACCTATAAACTGTAAACCATTAAAATACATATCAGTTCGATGGTTTGTGCATATGTTTATTAAGTTCTAGAACTAAAATATGTATTAAATATATTTGCCCATTGTTAAGACAATATTAGAATTACTGAAATGTAAATTTACGGGACACTAGATTTATGTGCAATAAAATGCCAACCCAAATGTCTCATTCTGTCGACCAATCTGTGATTGTTTACGTCTGTCAGTGTCATGGAAACATGGGCGCCACTTAAGGGAGAAGGGGGGCACTTCAATAATAGCTATCTAAAAGAACAACAGTAAGTACAAGAGTTATTATGCCGTGCAATAGTGAATACAAACTTGTTGCGTTTAGTAAGTTCTTATTTTATAAATATGATATTCCCAAATTCCCCCCCTACCTCCCCCTTGGATTCCATAACAGCGTCCATGCTTGGTATAGATAATGTATTTGCCCTTACACTTCCAAACTTCTACAAGCTACGTCATATTTGTTTTCCGACGACCGAGAAAATAGAAAATCTGCTCACTATAAACTATGCATAAATCGAGAACTGACCCATTGACTTCATGTATAACCTCTAAAATAAAGCGTTAAATGTTACACTTACCTACCGAGCAACAGATACCTTTTTGCTACCAGAAGAATCCATTCGAACAACATTTTTGCACTAGTCGTAAGTGGCTGCTTGATGTGGCATACCTAGGTTTTGTAGTCGTCCTAATATTTTTTGTAGTGTGTAGTGTAAACCCACCCTTAGGTTTCTGTCCACTGTCCATGACATTTTCTTTAGCTTTAGTCATGATTATTTCGAGAATATTTTCAGTTTTAACAATTTAAATAAATTCTAATGATTAACTATAAAAATTTAACTAATTTTTTAATTTTTATATGAGAAACACCTAATTTATGTAACAATATTTTACCGTTAGATTGATTAATCATCAATTAAAATTTAATTTATTATTTAAAATAGAGCTCTGTGTGTTTTATAGCCCAAACTAAATATATTTTATAGTAAATTTGAAATCCATTACGTTAACAGGAGTTTGTTCAAAAAACCGTTAATAAATTACTTTTAACTAGCAATTGGGGTCTCGCTAAATAAATGATCAATATTTAACCAAATTTTATGTAAAATACACTAGTCACAAAAATTAAAGGGTAGGTAATAAAAATTCAAAATTTTTAGGTGATTTTCAAAAGGCTGTAACTTGACGAAAAGTGGTCGTAAAATAAAAAATTATGATAATTAATTACTAGAGAACTTTATTATCGTTATTATCGTTTTTTGATGAAAGCTACTTGGTTAAAACAAAATTATTGAATGGTTTTAAATTGTTTGTTTTTCGGTATACAACATTTCCAAATTTAGAATTTAGCGAAAAAATCATGCTTTGAGGTTAAAAAAACGAAAGCACCCTTAGCTTATTCATTTATCTGTAAAGTTATCTCCAAGTTTAGCGAAAATCCTTAAATACGCAATTGTTTATCTTTTCTTCAATCAAGTTTTCAAAACCCTTCTAAGATTTTCTGGACGATCATTAGTTCCGAAGTAACTAATTACACAGCTCCACAAAAAAAAAAGGCTTGTGCAAATGTCCGCAATATATTATTCCCATGTATTTTGAGCCACTGAATCCGATTTAAGAATTGACCCAGCAAATCACCAGAATTTTCTAACATCAAAAAAAAACACAAAATCAACTAATCAGCATCAGGCATGATTTATCAGCGGCTAAAACTAGTGCTCAGTGCTTTGTATTCCCATATATCTAGATTCACTAAATACGAATCCGATGTCAGATTTGGCCCAAAATGTCACAAATCCTTCCTAACCTTAAAAAAGCTTTAAAATCCACAAAATTAATAAATCGGTTTCTATGATCCAGGTATGATTTAACAGCGACTGAAAATCATGGTCTAACCTATGTATTCCCGTATATTTTGACTCACTGAATCCGAATCCGATGTGAGAACTTCCCCAGCAAATCACCTGAATTTTCTAACCTGAAAAAATAGCTTTTAAAATCTCTAATATTCTCGAATTAAAATGATAAGGATTAATTACACAGACACAAAAAAAGAAAAGTGGTATATTCTAAGACCAAAATGACTCGATCACTCACCATTTTTTTTAAATAAATTAAATCCGTACCGACGAAAAATGTATCGCAAAAATGAATGATGGTGAAAGAGCAGCATGGCAATGATGGAGCAATTCTGGATTCTGATTCAGCGCATCTAAATACATAAGGAATCATAGGTCTAGTTTTTGGAATAGACCATTTTTCTTTTTTGTGGGTCTGTGTAATCCTTATCATCCTAAAATTCAAGAATATTACCGATTTTAAGCCATTTTGTCATGTTAGAATATTCTGGTGATTTGCTGGGCCAATTCTGACATTGGATTCGAATTCAGCAGTTCAAAATACATATGAATAATATATTCTGGTCATTTGTACAAGGCTTTTTTTTGGAGCCGTTATCAAAGCCAAGCAGGTGATTATCGCTTTGAACGGCGATAACTCAACGAAAAATCATCGTAGAAAGCTCTTGAACAGCTCAAATTGAAGAGCATCAGTCAAATTAAGACTTGACAGCTGGGATTGCCAAAAAAATATTGAAGCCCGTGAATCTTTTAAAAAGGAAGCAAAAATTTTGATTTTTTCCTCTAGATTTCTTAAGATTGCTTAAAGGTGATCAACGATAAAAACTAAAATCCTCCATGCTTCAATATCATTTTATTATTGCTCTACAACTATTTTTTGCCAAGTTGCAGCCTTCTGAAAACCACCAAGTTTAGGATTTTTTATACCTTAATTTTTGTGACTAGTTTATTTGAAGAAGGAATATATTTTTAACAACTTGGGCTTGTTGAAAGTAGAGGAATAACTAAATACAAAAAAATTGACAAATTTTAATTATTTTACCCATAAAAAAGTCATGGCATATCTTCTACATTTAAAAAAAAATACATTTTTATCACATCTGTACAACTAACATTTTCTACTTGAAATTAACACTTTTTCTTAACTAAAGCAGCTAGAACAAGGCATTTTCCGACTAACTTACTGCGTTTCTTAACATCTCCTATAATAAACTTCCAGAAAATACTTGGTTTTATTCTGTAGATGGATACATGTCTTCGCCAGAGAGGGGTTCAAGATACGAAGATCCATATTACAGTCAGTACGCTACCAGATCTGGGTCCATCACCCCAGTTATAGATGAAGAGATTAGGTAAGTCTTTTGTAGACAAGTTGAAAGACCTGCCGGTATGACATTTCAAATATACTTCTAGCTTATAAATTTCAAAATAGAATCGTTTTCAGCGATACGGAGTTACTGGATGATTCGTATTCTTTGTATGGAGTGAAATTGCCACCAGGAAGCGGTCCCAGAGTGGCCCCCAGGTCTCCTTTTCCCCAGGCTTCGGTTCCTTATGACGCCACAAGGCAAGTAAAAAATTAGTAGTATAAAATAATAATGATATGAAAAAAACAGCTTTTAAAGAATCTCGTAAGTGATTTTCGTCGATAAAAGCAAATAAACATAATTATGTAAATATTTACAGATTGCGAGTAGAAAATATGGAAAGGCAGCTGGCAAACTTAACTGGTTTGGTGCAGAAGGCCCTTACCCAACCAGCTGCGACCCATCTTCAGGTACCAGGAAGAGAGAGCTATCGAGGTATTTATCTAATTTTTTTCTAATAGCCTTCTTTAGCGTGCCTGTGGTTGTCCTTTGCACTAGCATACATATAGCATAATTATTTAGTCATAGAAAAGAGACGTTTTAGCAAATATTCATAGCTTTAATACACAGTTATGTGGAGGAAGCACCAAAACCACCATACAGGATCGTATCGCAGTTATTCAAATCAAACAGGCAGTAAAAAGATATTGTCGCTTCAAATTGTTTTGAGTGAAATTTATTTTAAATATTTTTTTATTCTTTTGTTGCAAAATGTAAACTTCTTAGTTTCAGAGATGAGAATCATAATTATATAAAATATGTGGCTATACAGGGTGTTTTGAAAGAGATGCAATAAATTCAGGGGCTCAGAGAATATCGCAAAATAAATGTCACTAAGAAAAATGATAAATAACGACTTCTACAAGACAGTCGTAAACAAATAAAATTTATGTTATTTTTAAAAATGTATTTCTATCAAATTTCAACGCAATACATTGTTGAAAATAATGGGCAATAATTGATTTATTTAAAAAATCATATTTGGTGCTCTGTATCTCAAAATAAAAGACAACAGGTTTTTAGTTTTTACAAAAAAAATTTAAAACACCCTGTATATTAATAAAAACTACTATAAATACACTAGATTTTTGCAGTTTACATTATAATATAATTTTTTTACATGAAAAACTCCCTAATTTTCTACAACAAATTACCACCGTAATTTTTTGTACTTGTTTATTTATAAGTATTTTAAATCATTATTTAGTCATTATTACGAAAACCGCTAATATTAGAGATTACACACAAAAAGTGTTCAGAATGTACAGTAAACTTCAAAAATGGCATAATATACAGGGTGTTCCATTAAAAAACATATCAATGATGACTGCATATGTTCTTCTTGAGACACCCTGTATACAATTTTCTGTCAAAAAATCCGCAACTAAACGAAAGAATTTTGAACGAATTAGTTGTTTTCATCATGAATGCACTGTATTATTGATCTAAAACGTTTCTAAAATGTCAACCAGTACACTACGCTGTTTAGAATCAAATTATACCAGAGCAAATTCAGTTACGTCAAGGTAAATCTAGTAGCCTGCTCCAAAAACAAACGAGCAGCGTGAAAATGAACTATCCTCGCTATGGTACATTCCCTTGAAAAGGCTTCATTCGTGCATAAATAGTAACCACCCCCTCGCTATTTAAGGGTGGGATGTTGGGTCGGATCTTGGAGAACAATTAATCACAGATATTAGTTGCGTATAAGTGGGTGGTTTCGAGGCCCGAGCCCGAAATTTACCCTACAGTCTCCCCCGGTGAACGCAGAAGTTAATTTATAACCTCGACACGACAACGTTGTGTGTAATTGATGCTGCTCCTGTGTTTAATATTCGCTTATTCACTTGTTCTATGTTCTAAAATGGTAGGATTTTGTGTAAGGCATGGCGATTTTATTATTCATAGACTTGGTTATGATTCGACTACGTGTTGAGGTTAAAACTAACGAGAGGTTCCCATTTTGCTCATGCGGAAGTGATCCTGATCACATAAATCGTAACCTTTCTTTCATTTGACAGTTAACTGACACATGACTGACATTGATACAGAAAGAGACCTGTTTATTAAATAATATATTTATATATTTGTTATATATTTTTATGTACAGAGTGTCCCAATATTCTGTGCACAGGGAGCTACCACAATTTCCTGCGATCAAAATAAACAGGGTTAGCTGTACTAAGTTGCTTCGTTTAGCCGATAAAGAGATCAAAGTTGACAATTTTTTTTTTCAATTAACTGAAATACCGTGTAAGTTTTTATTGAAATTTGATACACTAATACTGCCATATATATGTCACTTTACGACATAGTGAACGAAGTAATCGGATTAATAGAATTGTGAAAACTACCCCCTCCTTTGGACTTAACCGCTCATAATTTTGTCAGTCTTGATATCCTTTAGCGACTAAACGAAGCAATTTAGGATATGAGTTAGCTAATTTAGATAAATCTGTTTATGTTGAACGCAGGAAACTGTGTGCATGGAATATTTGTATCATTGAACGAGTAAGCGTATGCCAAATTTCTAATTTTGACATTTGTATATTCGCCCCGCAACAGTAGAGATCAATTGTTAAAAATGTCCCCAGCCTCAGAATTTTCCACGTATAACAGATAGTTAATAAATGTAACTAGGTTAATTTTTCAACTTTTGCGTATATTGTAATTCACTGCACATTTTTGTACAGCTCTCACTACCTTAATTGTACAAAATTTTCAAGGCGTAGGGACCCATACTGTCGTTATATGTTCGTACTCGTACATCGATAAAAACTCATTCCCGTAGCATTTAAGCCTGCCCAACGGTGTAACTAATGTTGCAAGCTTGTAAATATTATGTTTGTTGCTAACATCACCTTCATTTCTACTACAGGAGACGAGTTCGATAAGAACTCCAGTTCGAGTTCCGCCTCGCTGCCAGGTTTGTATCCACTTGCTTCTCCTCCGCTTCTTCTACTAACACTACTAAGTTCTCCTGCATGCCTTCACAAAATGAAATTTTAGGGATTGTGGTATAGATGGTGCACAAATATTAGCAAACGAAGCCAATAGTTGGCGAAATGTTTTTAGTTACCCTTTTAGGCTTGCTAATATTTGTATTCTTCTGCATTATTTACAGAGAAAATACAAATAGAACTGTGAAGTATCCAACAGTTGATGCATTTTGAAAGCCAATGCACAGGGTATAACCTTAAGTGGGGGTCAGTTTTTTATTATTGTATTATTTAATTCTTGTATACGCTGTCACTAGGCAGCGTACACCGGTCCATCCAGAATTAGCGTGATAAGTTGTATCAATGAATTATCAACGTTGCCAATTATAATCTTTTCAAAACAACTGGAAAATAATTTAGTAAAAACAGGTTGATTTTTACGGCTTAGGAACGTGTTATTTTAAAGTCACCATATTTTTTTTGACGTCAATGTGGAGGAAACGTTGAACATAAAAAAACATTATATTGTTTAAAAACAACAAAATTTAGATACGTTTCTAATTGTAAATAAAACTAATTTAAATTTTAAAATAATTATTTGTTGCCATATTAAAAAACATACATAATAAAAAAATTAATAAGAATAATAATACGAATATACGAAATATTTCTTTAACATTGTTTCATATTTTAACAAACAAAACAATTGTGTTATTATTTTTTCTTGCATCTCAGTGTCAACTTACTGTTGTTATGTAAATTAGATAAGGACGCATTTAAGAAAGTTAAATCAGGTAATAGGTATTAAAAGTGATATAATTCTAGACAATATACGGTATGTTTCTACTCTTTCTTTTCTTATTTAGCCCCTTCAATAGCTAATCACTGCTAGACATATTAAATTAATCGAAAATAAACAAATCAGCAGCAAAATTAAATCGCGAATAGTTTAAATTTCCAGCAGAATCCGATCCTGTTCCGAACACTTACGAAGCTCAACGGAGCCTCCCTTGTTCAGTTAAAATTCCATTGAAAAACCACTACTACCAGTTGACTTCACACCTGGTATGATATGACGGGATGGTAGATAGATAGAAAACAAACTGCCACGTTAATTGGACGAAACAGGAATGGCCCATTACGTTTTTTTTTTAAATCATAAAGCGTCTTTATGTAGTGTAGGTGTAACCTTATAAAGTTAATTATTTCAGTATTTCGAGGCGGTATTTTGTGTTTTCAAGTTTTTATGTGACATAAGTGTTTCTACAGATCAAATGTAACCTCCGTATAAATATGACCCTCATTCAAAGTTACACCCTGTATAGTTTCTTCTAAAATCAAATAGCAAAAAAATTGTGTATATTTTTTTAAATACAAATTTTACAAATTTTTAGTAATATATCCGCACTTAATGTATTGTTGTAATTTTCTCTGTAAAGCCTTAGATAATTGGCATATGACTTGTAAACTTTTCCATTTATTTTAAAAGTTTAGCCATGTTATTGATTTCGCGTCAGTTGAGGTACTACCTTGTATAACACACACTATTTGTCTATGTTGGCAGATGATTCGTACCTCCGATCTGACAGCAAAGCACCCAAATTGGGTAAAAGTGGCTGTCGTAAGTCTAATATTACTTATTAAGCATGTCGTGTATACTTGAACTTGTCAAATACATGTCTCTACTTGTTCAGCTAACTTTACAGTACATTACACGTTTGTCTGAGGAAGGATATTTGGTAGTACATGAATTCATTGTGCTCACAAGCATAAATATACGATATCCTTTTTCTTTATTGGTGTTTGCTACACAATTTTGAATATATAAAAAGCAATAGACTGTTACATTATAAATAGAACATACAATATCAATTGTTTGACAGAACAGAAATAGTTTATAAAAACGTACATACATTTTGAGGTTAAAATTAGTAGGAGCTTTCGTTTTGCTGATTTACATAGTATTGGATCACTTCTCTAGAAACCATTTTCGGTTTAATAGTAGCGCTGCTTTAAAATATGATATATATTTTAAATAAATAGAACATATTTTAGCAGACGAAAATGTCTGTGAGACCACTACCAAATATGTTTACACGCAAGACAAAAAGTGCATGTGATATCATGACCTGTTGACTACCATGGTACTCATAACTGTGAAAACTAACTGCGACTAGTGCCTAGCTCCATTTCATATCGTTTACTGCGCTCTTCACTTTCCTGATTGTAGCTCTTCATTACCCAAGAGGATTATTTTCAATATGATCATATAACCCTCCATTTCAGCCATCATTTTTTAACGATTTGTTTGTGTATGATTTTTAGATAAGTCCGTATCTTTTGAGAAATCGGTATCGTTCAGTGACGAGCCCCCAGACATGAACTCGCCCAAGCAACACAGCCCCCAGCACGCAGGTAAGCGTTTTTAATTTGTTTTTTGTATTTTGTATGAAAGCTACTCCAGGAATTGACATTATTCGTTGGAAAAATAAAAACCAGTAAATATAATAGATTGTCATGAAATAAATACTGAATCAGAATAATTATGTTTCTTCTTATTTGAGTTATACCAACACCACCTCTGTGACCAGGTCATAACTGCAATTCGTGACATCAGCTAGTGGTTTACCGTATTACACAGACGAAATTTTTGCTTTTTTTTAACATCTAAAATCAATGTAAAAACCACGCATAAGCCGGTAAACCAACGGAAGAAACTAAATAATGTTACCTGGCGGTGCGATACGAATTTTGTTTATGGTTGTGGTGTATTCGCCAAAGAAACGACTTCAGCTGACGTCACAGAGGAATCCGACAAGGCAAACCTTTGTACATTAGCGCATTAGCACAGAATATCCTAACTACAAGGATATTCTGTGGCATTAGCCTTATGCAGACTGCAGAGATGTCACATTGTTTGCAGGATGTAAGGAGTATTACAAACGCTCTATATTTTCAAAATAAAAGATATTGCAACTAAACGAGCAAAATAAATAATGTCAATTCCCATCTTTTTAATAAAAGTTTTTGTTTTTAATAATGTTTTGAAAATGACTCTTGAAAAGTTCGTATAAGGAGATTAAGTTAATGTTAATTGTGAAATGAAGTCCTTCGGTTGCTTTTTGCTTAACTACACGATAATTTTTTGCTGAATTTTACTCATAACTAAATTTATGTCAAAATCATATTTTATTTTAAGAAGCACTTCTATTTTTTTTTTACTTTTCTAGAGTAAGCAGAACATTAGCTTAAGACCCTAAATAAATACACTCGTAGTAGCATTCGATGTACAGGGTGTAGCAAAACGTGCAAAAATTGGAGAACATTTTCCTTGTCTATATTTAATAATATTTTCTTATATTTTCCCTTGGAGCCCTTCTTTTATCCATTCTCTAATTATCTCCTAAGTGAATATATTGAAAACAAATTTTATGTGTACAGTATGTGAATAAAATGACATTCTACATGAAAACATAAAGTCTTGATGCAAGTCAGTGGGGTAGATTCTTCAAAAATTGTAACACTAATAAAAACATATTTTTAAAATTCCAATATTATATTAAATAGCATTTTAGCAATTTTTAAAAATATGTTTTGATACATTTAAATACAATTATTTACATGATTCATTTTTGACATGCCGTTGCGTTACACCCTGTAAAATAAATTGTAAGTATTACGGTTTTCCTGTGGCATGACTTTAAACTAATTTTAAATAAACTTTTTTGCTCAGGAAAGGTAAGAAATTTTACCTATTTGTCGATTAACACCAACCCTTTTCTCCGTCCAATTTTTTTCAAAATTTGTTGAATTTATAAATCAGAATGATGGTATTAAATCACCTATTTATAAGAAAAAATATGATATTAAAGACCTGCGTATATGAAAAATATAAAGTTGGCGTTACCGACTAATCCATTTAAAAAAGGAAAAAAAAAGTTGTTCTGCATGTGTGTGATTTTAGACTAACTTTTGTTTTTTGGAATTTCTGCTTCCCGCAGCGGACACTAAACCAGCAAAGCCTGCAATAAAATCTTCCACTCTCCCTAGAACTTCTTCCCAGGGTAAGTTGTTCCTATTTTGTTACATATTTCGCTATTGTCACCCTGCTGAAGCCACACATTATTTTTATGTATCGAATGACGACTTCATATCCTTGTCGATGTTTATATTACATATGAATAATAATTGTCCATAAACATTTAATATATTTTAGTTATTATTAAATATATACTTGAAGAATTTTGGTAGGACTCACTTTAAGTCCTCCGTATTAGGTACATATTTTCTCAAATTATGCGAAACACTATATCCATTTCTTTTACACAGGATGATCTACAGTAAATAAAAAAAATTCAGAGGATATTAGAGCATTAAAAATGCTGCAAGTTTACCTAAATGCATATGTGTTCATTTATTAATGGTTTAGAATTGAAAATAAAAGATAAACTATTTAGACAATTCAGAAACAGTAGACATTTTTTATTTATTTTTCAGTTTTGTAATAAGGTCCCTACACTTTTTCTTGGTGTCTAAAAATATCTGTTTGTTTTTGAATTCTCACCAGAAATAAAATTATTTTCTTCAACTTATCCCCACGTAATAACTTCTGAACATTAGTAATTGAACACCAGTTTATAAGGTTAACTTACAACATTTTTTATGATCTAACACATTATGTGAATCACCCTGTATGTATGTACACATTTCACAAAAATATTCTTCCTCAGAAAGAGACCGTCTGAAGCCAGCTCCCCCACCAAAACCAGCGTCTCTGTCTCCTGGCCAGTACGACAGTCGGATATACAGGGATCTGCAACTCACCCCCGAGATGTACAACCAACTGAGAGGCTTGCAGAAAAAGGCCAAGGACCTCAGGGCGGAAGTGAGGAACTTAAGAAGGATGTCACAGGCACAGGCGCATTCTGTAAAGGAAACTATAAGGGACACCTTCATCAAGATCAGAGCGATGCTGTTGGCCGGCGGGGAGCAGGTTTGGCAAGCAGGTGAGGAAGCAGCAGAAAAAAACTCGTAATTAGTTCTGTTACTTATTCACTTCTCTACGATTTCTGATCACAGAGATGTAAATCGTCCCAATCAGTTTATCTGTTCGAAAGTTACGAACAAAAAGGTTATTCAAGTTTTCCTTGCATTTCGCTAAATTTTATAAACATGTAAACTTCAAAACTACCAAAAACATGTACTTCTAATCCAGATGTGTCATTATTAGGCATGGATCAAGAACGTGTGCGACTGACTCGTGAGGAAGATTTATACAAACAAGAAATGCTAAGGCTAGAAAAGGACCTAAGCGATCTAGAGGCGACGGTAGAGGAACTTCGGGGCAACGTCATTAATAGAAAAACAAGGGTGAACATGTCTGATGTCGAGAACATGGCGCTGGTGCTGAGTAAAAGCTCTAAAACGGTTGCTGACTTAAAACTAAGGTAAAACATTTTAATAAAATACCAATAACATTTTGTAAAAGGAATACCCGAAAATGAAATTATTTCATTGTAGATTTCCCGGCCTACAAGATGGGATGAAAGCCTTCTTGAGTACAGAAATGGAAAAGGTGATGCGAGAAGAGAAATTCCTCAAAGAGGAACCCGAGCGTCTCGAAAGCGCCCTCAGGCGTTGCAAAAAACTGACAGGAACCCTTGTCACTCTTAAGAGGTAAGTCCAAACTCAGTTGCCACGCAACAAATAAAACAAGCAGGCCTAGATAACAATAGAGACTCTCGGTTTGCCATGGGAACTGGATCCAGAGAAATGTCAAGGCACCAACTATTTATTACAGTTCACGATTCAACTTTTATGCAAATTTTACAAGAAAATAAATTCTTTTAAACGCCAAAATAAAAAATTTTGCACATCCGGGACCTTATCTTTCGTTTTGATTATCGTTTAGTTATTATACAGGGTGCTTACGAACTGGGAAATTATTTTTTAATAATAAGAGGAAATAAATGAATAGTGAAAAAAGATGTGAACTTGTTGGGAACTACTGTCGTCGAAAGGAAATAACATGTCATTCTATTATGATAACATCGCAGTAAGTATTCAAGGTTGCTGTATAAAATTCCTGCTATTCCTATAAAACGTCTTGCCATCATATGATAATATGTCGTGCCGTTTCAATCCAAAGTGGTGATAGTTCTTCTACATCACTGACTTGTCTGTCATACATAATTTATTTTTAAATATCCATAGAAATAAATTTCTAAAGAATGTATGTCCGGATAACGAGAAGGTCATCATATAAGAACTGATAAATCATTTCCTAAAAATTTCAGATAATATCATCGAAGTCAAGTGATTTGGCAACAAAGAAAGGTCTCTAAAAAATAATTCACGACTGAGTAGCAGCATATATTTCTAGATGTAGCATTGTTATTTATATCTCACCTCTATATTCACTCCATGCCTCCAATCCATCGATTGTAACACCCATCGCATACTAACAGAACTAATCTTCGAATCGAAATCGGTAAAAAGTTCAAAACCGTTATATGTCTGGTGGTCTGGCTGACGAATTATTGTAGCTGTTTACTAGATATTGCAAGTATAATTCAGTGCTAGTCGCGACATTATTCCACATAGTAATTGTTTCCCGCGATTTAAAAGACAATCTTGTTGTAACGAGAAACGGATGCAGCTCTTCTTCTCCAATTTACGCCATACAGTCTGATGTACAGGCCAGTGTCATATACTGTTTGAATGAGTGTTAAATGTTGCAGCACTTGGTGCATAAAACTTGGAAAACAATTTGCACATATTTTATTATATTTGCAATATATCAATAGCAAATCCACAAATTCGTAATTACTCTAACTATGCGCTATTATATTATCCATATTGTACTCAAGTGCCAAATTAGTAGTGAGTGATTCATTATTCATACTACAGTATGTCAGATTAATTCAGTGGGGTTCAGCAGCTCACGAAGATATTGCGACAATCGAAGAAGTGTAACAGTGTGAGCTTTAGCCATCTTGTGCACTATATATTTCATATATTTGACCTTTTCTTTTTGTTCAACTACTAATAATTAATATAGTGTCTTTATATTCAATGTTCTCCATTCAATTTTCCCATAAAATATCCTTTTCTCCATGCAGATGTCAATTTTTCTAATTCGTCGATTATGGTAAGGCACATTATCTGTGACATTCTCTGTATCAGGTTTGATGTGAGGCAAAATAGAACTATTTTTCAAATACTTCACTTTCTATATGCTCTTGGTAATCTCTTGTAGTCCCTTTTAAGTAGGGATTATATCAGATTAAGAATGTATGAAGCTACTTTATAGTATTTTTGGATTGAAGTATAAAGTAATAGTGAAATAAAAAACTTTTGGATGTGCAATCGGTGACAGCTAAGAGCAATAGATGCATCGTTGAACCGAAAAACCAGAAAAATCGACTTCTCCCATTAAAAATATATCTCCAAGTTCGTAACCACCCCGTATTTCGGGAATTTGTCAAAGATCATTACAAATTAAACTTGTGTGTACAATTATAGACTTGCTAGTGTTCAGGAGCAAAGGCTTCCATGCTCGAATTCAAATGACGGACGCCTGTCGCCCACCTCTACCGAGACGCCACCAGTGACGCCATCGTCAACGCACAGCAAGGTAGGCTTTCTTAAAGGGAACATAATGGCTGTCTAACCCGCATGTGTTTGTTGTGATGAATCAATTTATATAATCCTTCATGATGCAGTAGTGAGATTATACAGGTACCATCTAAATTATTGAAATAGTTGTCGATATGGACAAATGCTGGCCGAAGCTCAGTTTTGTGCATATTCCTTAAGCTGTAAATTGCATTATTTCTTTGGAAACAATTGGCCCTAACCAGATTATAATGTGTACTAAAAAATGTCATAAAATATTTCGATTAATATTGAGGATAAAAATTGAACAGTATTGAAAATTTTAATATTTTTTGTACCAACTTGCTTAACAAATTTTGTAAGCACTAGAAATCAAACCCTTTAACTTATTTTTAGGTATATCTCACAAGAGATAAAGATGAAGGTTTAAACCTTTCCAGTTGTGGTTTTGATTTCTAGGGCTAGCCCTTAGTTAGCTTCCTGTGCTGCAGAAAAATTGATATGTGAATAATCTCAAATATAAATTGATTCCAGTCTTAGCATTTTTCTTACAGAAGAATGCCTAAAATTTAATGGATTAAAAAGGTGATTTTTCAAAAGATGTACACGCATTTCCAATGTTACCTTAGCTATTTGCCCTCCTTGAATCAGTCGAATCATATTTGTAAAAAGTGTAGCAATTTCTCTCAATGTCACTCTAAGGTTTTTGCAAATATGATAGAGTCAATAGTTTAGGCCTCTCCTTGCTGTAGAAAAGCATCTTGTTTCATGCCCTCTACCCCCTTTTTGAGTTCACGAATTTATTAACCATTTTGCACATTGATTTTCAAATCGCCTTTAACATTAAGTGAGTGTTAATTTGTAAGCGCTTTTATAACGATGATAATGTACATATGTGAGTGTTAGATTTTAGAACAGTTACATGATTCAAAGGCAATACTACATACATTTTTATATCCACGCCTTTTTGCCTTTATAAATTCAACTTGCTTCGAAGGCTGTTTTCCACAATTTTTACTTACTTTATGCTTTTTACTGCTTCCAAGTCAGGAAAAATCTACAGAATCAAAGAATCCGTTAGATTAAAAACTGAAATTGTTGGAAATGGCTTTCAGATAGTTTAGAGCTGACAAAAACAAAAACCACGCAGAAATTCACGAGCCTAACAACCCCAAAAACCCCCCACATTTCGACACCTGCAATAACTTTGATATCACAGAACATTGACCAAATGTTTTATTGTATTTCCATGTAGTACGACTGGAAGTGGAGCTCAAACTTCAAGGAAGCTATAACCACTCACGAGTAAAAAAAACTCTCCGTTTACAATAATGCTTGCATATTTATTAATTGAATCGTACGTGACATGTTACTTGATCATGATTTTGGCTTGGATCGGTATTTTTCTTATAATTTATTGGTCTATCTATTTTTGCACCGAAAAGCACTATTTTGCATAAAATTTACCTTGTATTTTCTGATGCACAACATTTATTCCTGTGTACATACAATTGGCTTTGAAATTTTCGTCGTTTTTTGCTGTTGTCTCTCGTCACAGTTCTCTTTATTACCCTCTTCTCTCGTTTCTTTATGTTTTATATTTGAATGTCCCAAAGTGACAGTTTTTACACAAATTTTTACATAGCTGTACCAAAACCATCAAAATTTCAGAGTTTAATCATCAGTTAATTTTCAAAAACTGTTTTTAATTTTTTATATGAACACTCGTATTTCCTTTAATCTATTTTGTTGAAAAAAATATATATAAATAAATTCGTAACTGTATTTAACAAAACGTTCAATGTCAAATGTAACAAGGAATAGAATGCCTACCTTCTTTTGGATGATCATATAAAAATATTATTATCTTCATTAATTTAATACCACATTATTGAAAGAAAACAGTCACACTAACAATATATCCTAACAAAAGCAAAAAAGGATTATAGCACTTTTAAAAGCAAAACCCTCTCTCATGTATATTTATTTATCTAACTGCTAGGAAAATATAAGAGAGTCGTTCACGATTTTCTCATAAAATAGATAGTTATTACTCGTGAATAAAATGGTACCTATATTTTATAATTAGTTAACTTAATAACAATAATTAAACAATTTCTGGAAACTTTTTAAACGGCCTGGTATATCCATTTGAAATGAGGAAATTCCAAATAAAAAAGGTTTAATATTCGGAATAAAACAAAAATATTACTATTACTACTATTACTTATTAATATAAACTTGAAAATGCCTGTGATCAGGGGTATTCTAATTTGTAATCAGCATTTTTTTCAGTCTATTCAAATAGTAACTTCGCTACATTAACTGTAGTCAATACTCTTTACTTTTTTTACTTTGAAATACCTTTTCAAAATAGTACTTGTTATAAATTTGTTTTATATTTTCTTCAATCAGGGATATATTTACATTATAATAACACTGGAGCTTTTAAACAACCTTTTGCCTAATACATTTTTTCAAAAACTGACATTTTTTACCGGTATTTTATATCCACTAAAATAATGTTGACCTGCATTTAAATTATATTTTTAGGTTTTTTGCTGCTAAATACAAAACACTAGCATTATTTAATTCTCATTCTCGTGCTTCTTTTGATTTATTATTATCACAACAACTCATATTTGGACTTATGCAACAATGGTGGGTAAAAAAAAGTTAAAATAAAAAATGTGTATTTAAAAATGTAAAACAAAAACTTAAAGTATAGTCAGGAATGCAGTCAAAGCCAATTTAAATGTACTCTTTTTTATTATTTGAGCTTTCGGAATAATTTATTCCTGCTTCGGGAGAAACTAAATTATTCTGAAAGCTCGAGTAATAAAAAAGAAGACACATTCAAATTGGCTTTGACTGCATACCCTACTATACTTTAAGATTTCGTTCTTTAACTTAGACAGTCGCCTAACATTTTCACAATTTAAAAAAATATATGTAAGAGGTTTTTGAGAAAATGTATAAGACAAAAGTTGTTTTTGAAGAGATAAATTTATATTTAAAATTTTTACACTTGTAATTTGAAGTTAAGAAAATTTCTAATGAAAAACATTTTATTTGGTTCTAGATTATAAGATAGTGCTCATACGTACATAAACATATTTCCAATTCAAAGTATTTTTTTTTACCTTAATAATTTAAAGATTAATACATACATGTAATTTAAATATTGTCAGACGAGAAGGAATTTTATACTGACTACAAAATAGAAAGACCAATTTTAATCAATTTCTAAAGTAATTAATCTCAAAAAGTTGATTTTGGAGCATTTTCATTTCAGAAATGTCTTTTTTTAAGAGAAATTTTGGTATAATTCCAATTGGCCCTTGTCTTTCTTTTCAAAATTAACATCTAATAAATGTTGTGCCTAGAAGACCAATAAATTGTACATAAATTTGGATGATGCATAAAAAGAAAAGAAAATTACCTTTTCCTTATAGTAAGGTCTCATTGGAAATGTCTTAAGTCTGGTCACAAGGGCCTTTTTGCACCATTAAATCTCATCCACCATTTATTTTATTTGTTAAGAAAAATCAGAAACATCTAGCATATTCGTTTTTGCCTTCCCAAATAATTACTTAGACTTATTTAAATTAATTGATAACACATGACGCTTATTTTTTATTATTGATAAATTGTACCGTTATATTTTTATTTTGTAGTTGACTAACGCTTGATTTTTAGATTTACCACCTGGGACACTTTACTAGTACATTTTGTATCTTATAAGTAGAAAAGTAACAGGTAGACATGCCAGCATTATTTCCATAGGTTATCCTTTGTTTCATTTTATGAATGTACTTGTAAAGTTGGTAGCTTAGAATGTAGCTTTTTGCTTATATTAACCTTGTAAGAAAAGGTTTCCTGAGTAGTTACGAAATTTTCGGTTCGCAAACTCTAACCTTACTATAAGGGAAAGATTTTTTATATTTGCATGCGTTCTGCTTTTTACTTATTCGTTAGTTTCCGTTTCCATTGTTTTGTTGTCCTCCTTGCACGATGCACGATCGTTTTTCATTTGTTTTTTAACAGAATGTATGAATTTTTGCCTACTGGCATATTATTATTGGTAAGATTTAACATATCCCTGTAATTCGTATTTACTTACAACATATTTTGTTCTGCACGTTCTGCTTAAGGCTTTATTTTGTTCCTCCTCTTTCGTACGGCTTGAACTGTATGTGTATGTAGTGTTCCTGCATCAAACTTCTTATTTTATTGGTTTAATTTGTTAATTTTTTAGTTGTTGTTTCAGTTGGATTCACCCAGTAATCAGTAGTTGATGTTTTTTTGCACATTAACATTTTCTTTAAGGTAATCTTTATGTTAAGTACGTTTCGTTCCCCACAATTTCAAATTTAGAAAAATCATTGTCGAAAGTGCTACTTAACTAGACAATTAAAGCAAGTGTAGAAAAATATCTAACCAAAATATTATTTCGTTTGTTTCTTCACTCAGTCATTGATCAAACTTTTTAATAATTTTATTTAAAAAAAATGCACAAAATTCAAAATAAATATTTCTATATTAAAAAAGTACAAAACGCTTTAAACATAAAATACCTACGAAAATACTCTTAAAAGTGTTATAAGTGTATGTGTATATGATTTAATAAACATAAATTTAATTCAAAGTGCTACTCTTTTTAACTAACGACATTGTGGGAAAGAACTCTTCTGCGGACAGACTACGGTTGATACCTACTGTTAACTAAAATTTCCGAAATCTTAACATTACCTATATTAATGATTCGTTTACAATATACAGTGACTAACAGTCACAGCCAGTGAAATATTGTGTTTTAATGTGATCTAAATTTTATTATTTTAATTAATTTTTAATTTTACCGAACTTTAATTGCCAACGCGGAGAATAAAACTACTGTTTCAAACAAAATTACTGGTTACTTGGCCTGTAATCTTTTATGAAAGCTCTATATCTGCATCAAATGAAATACAACTAATAGGTATGAAAACACCTTAAAACACAAAAATAAATATAAAAAAACACTATAGAAGCAATATACATCTACAGACAAAAAATAAAGAAATAGCAAAAACATCAAATGTCACATTTAGAGAAAAAATAGTCTGATTACATAATAATAAGAGGTTACTGACTTGCTAATATTTTCTTTGATTTTGTCTCAACATGTAGGCAAATATCAGCCCAAATTCATACTTTTATTTTTATTTTATTTTTTATTTTTCTTTTTGATTTTCGAAATTTTTAAAATTCAGTTTGCTGTTTCCTTATTTTCGTACACTGCATATATACACGTCTACAATATTATAATATATATATAGTTCACGTAATTTGTAATGAATGTACGGGATAGTCAATAAGAAAGCTCTTCCTCATATTACAGAATATACCGATAAAAATGTTAAAATGTCTTTAAAACCATTGCTTTACTAAAAAAAAATTTGCATTTGTTTTAGTTAACACAATTTATGTCAGAATAATCGGCAAGATAACACAATGACGAAATCTGGTCTACATTATTTTGGTTGTTTGTTTGAATTATGTATAGTTAAGTGTACATAAAACCTTACCAGTTTTGAAATTATCATGAAATTGTGGGCGAACTATATCATAAATCCCATTGAATTCCTTTTGGACAATGCAGCAATAATTTTTTGTTGCTTTCCCAAGTCGTTTTACGACGCTTTATATTTTTCACTAAAAATATTATTATTACGTCATATATGATTAGATTTATGAGAATTTATCTGCTTGTAAGACTGCTAAATGTTCAATGAATATTTTACTGTTTGTTATAACTCTTTTTTTAATAATATACTTATTTAGTAATTAATATTTGGTGGTACACAGACTTAAACTTAGAGGTTATTATTTACTGTGCTAAAATGTATCTGCTGTCACTGCAAAGAAATGGAGATGCCCCACCAAGAATCAAATCCGCTATTATTTCCTATTCTGAATTTGTCTTTTTCGTAAAACGCCCGAATAGTTGTGAAATTCAAAATTGCTGCCACTTAACCAATATAAAACACATAGTTTTGTGTATTACTACCCAAAAGCATACAAATAATACAGAGACAACAAACGTTAAACCGCATACTTTTATTTTACTGGTAATTCGTTTGGCAGGTTTTCTCCCTTTTCCCTCAATTATCGAATAAAAAATCATTGAATTTATAGAATGCCACCTAAAAAGCAAATAGAATATAGGCTTAATTTCTCACGAGTTTAAAATCCAATTTAAAATGAAAGTTTGCGAATCAGGGCGAATGATGTCATATGCCTTCAATTTTTGTACATTACAAATGTTTTTCAAGGCCATTCAGGCAGTTAAAAATTACTAAAATGTAGGCTGTTTTTCCAATACTACCGAAGAGAGAAAAAGAAATAGGTGGGTCATGCCCATTATACCTTTTTAATAAATCAGTCCAGTTAGTATGTGCAGCCATTAATAATTTGTGGCAAAGTAAATAACAGCCAGAATTATGTACGGTAAAGTTTTTCATATGTTTTATTTGTGCTTTAATTTATTCCACAGCCCCCTACCGCTCCACGTGTGGGGTCGCTCCTCGTCGGGGGAGACAGCAGCCCCTCCGACAGTGGCCAGCGTCCGGAGAACGCACTCGACGCTCTGCTAGACGAGTTGCAAACATTTTCCAAACCCCACTCCAACGCTCAACCCCAAGACACCTCCGACCCACCCGCAATCCCCGTCAAGGGCAACCGCCCTCCCCAAATGTCGGAGATCGGAAGAAAGGGCAGTATGGACTCGGCCTCGTTTCTTCCCTCGCAAAACCTCTCCGTCAGCACTGCCACGGGCAGTCTGAGGCGTTTGCATTCGTATCCCAGTGGGTCAGACACCGACAATAGCCCCCCTATCCAACCCCTGCAAAGAGATAATAAAACAACCGCCAAACCTCCTATTCCAGAGAGAAACACTGAGCTTCTTCAGCATGTAGTGACTGGAAAGAGAGTACCCCCTCCACCGCCGCCGAGGACGAGCTCTAAGTCCCCGTTGGCGTCACCGACTTCCCCAAGTTTGCCACCAAGGTCGCCTGCCACGGCCCTCCAACATATCCAGAATGTCCAGAACATGGTCGACAAGCCGATGTCCCAGTTCGAGCAGGCCACGCAGAACCTCGGCTTACAGACTTTGCGGAGGAACGTTCCTAATAGATCTAGTATTAAAGATAAGTCTCAGACGCTGCCTAGGAATATAGGGTCGAACCTGCAGATACCAGTAGAGTCCGAAGCTATATCGGCAAGCAACAGCAGCAGTTGCGAAAGCGTCAACTCGCAGGACGGATCCAAGAAGACGCGGAAAGAGGAACTAGAACAAAGACACCAAGAACTTTTAAAGAAGCAAAAAGCCCTTCAAGAACAGTACGCCCGCTTGCAGCAACTCCAAAGAGGCAACAACACTTTAACCGTTATCCCCCCAGCCCCCGACCAACTGCTAAAGAAGACAGGAAGCGAATCCAACCTACTACAAAAGATGGGCTTACAATTGTCTACCTCACAGATCACCGGCTCCCTAACAAACCTACCAAATACTTCTGCAAACGCCGTCAGCAAGAGTACACCCACCAGCACCAACTCCAACCCCACCAACTCATCGAACCCAGCAACACACAATAACATTGACGACCAAAGCAAAATCTCCAACAACTCGAATACGACTAATACTCAAACTAACAAAGTCTACGAAACCGACATACTGTGACCAACTAAGACATGACTGCAATCTGTATGTTAAAATATGCACACATGATATTCATATCACAATTGGATTGTTATTTTTTTCTTGTTGAATGTTAGGTGTTGATAAGATTAGGCTACTTCTTTGTTTATCGATTTTTGTTTCGGTTGCCCTTGTTACCAAATCAGCACATCTCATACTTGTACTGTTATCTATACAATTAGAAAAAGTTTAACAATTTTCTTCAAATGCAATTTCAATAGAACTTTAAACATTTCTAAAGAGTATAACAGTGACCATGCAATAAACTTGCAAGTTTCCTCGTCAAAACAAACAAAAAAAGTGATCCTAAAATTAAAGGATCCCTGATCTTTCAGAGAATGGACGTGAGGCACAGTTTTTGATCAATTATCTTGAATAATTGATTAGATAAATACGATAACAATTTTTTTGCATATGTCGACAATCTACTTCCTTAAATCATGGCAGCTTCCCTAAAATAATCATAAATTCCGCTACACTCATAGATCCACAGAACACTAAAGAATGTAGTGTTCAATATGGTTGACTTGCTCAAGGTCACAATTTTTTATCTTGTCTTTTCTGATTCATATTACGTGCATGAGGGGTTATAAGTCTATTCTGTAATTTTCTTACAGTGCTATAAATTCATATAATAATATCAGAAGATAAAGCGTAACTTTTACAAAAATATTTGTTTGATTTTTTGTAGAGATGGGCACTTCAGAAAAGTGTTACGGACATGTCCGTTAGACATGTTGATGAAATGTTCAGACATGTCGGGAAAAATACTTTTAACCTTGAATCTAATAAGGCACCTATGAGTGACGTCATGTTTTCACAGGTAACTGCTTGAGGGTACACAATTACACAAAGTAAAAATAAATATTACTGTTATTCTAAAGAATGTGTCGATATATTTTATTTATTACCTACCTTTAGACTTTTTTATAAACTGGTTTCCAATTTTCCCCTGGCAGCTAATACACTTATTTAAATGTTTTTCCATCCAACCGGAATTCCTATAAATGTTTTTAAGCAGAACTTACATTTATAATGATTTTACTCAATTCAGAAAAATATAACCAAACTGTTGATTTTGGCGTCACACTTCATTTATAAACTATTGTGTGTAAACTATGTGTATTAAATATTAAATTAAGAAACAACTAATTACTATTTACTAATCGTTAACTTTGCCAAAAACAATAAAATGTGGGCATATAAGAGGTTATATTTTTAAAATATCAGTTTCAGTTAAACAATTACCAATAAAATTACAAGAAAATTTAATTTTACATGTACCAACCTCGAAAATTTTTTGCGGGAATTATTAATGCAACAAATAATTTCGCGCATGCGTATACAACTTTTCAATCTTGAAAAGAAGTGTCCTGGAGACATGTCCACTTTTCACGACATGTCCAGCTGACATGTCCACGGCACATCTCTAATTTTTTGTGACATTTTAAGTAAATCTGATTAATTTAACGACAGTTACTAAAAAAATTGTAAAAGTTGAAGGTTATCGCTTGTAGTTGCCATACCATGTTACAGAATACCACCGCAGATTGCAGAAGAATAGCCAGGCTAAGAAGAGGCACACGACACGACCACTTCTTAACCTTGTTCTTCTTTGGATTTGTTTTGACGAGAAATCAGAAAGTTTGTTCAGGGTAGCATTACACCTTGTGTACCTATCAATTTTTCAATCCTATGTACTCGTGATTAGATAACAAGTTATACCTTAAACCTTAAAAATGCCTTGCAACGAATCCTTGTGCCAAACTTAATCTAGCATTGATCTATTTTAACAGAAAACGAACATTGAGGGTAAAAATAAAATATACGTTTGACTTGGTAACGGGGGTAAAAGCTAGGCTTTTACTTAATTTATGATTTGTTAAATATTATTAAGATAAATCCAATGATTTAATAAAATATTTCTGAATTATGCACACTTTTTATTATCACGATATGTAAATAATAAATACAAATTCAAAACGATTGCAACACATGCACTTTTAAGAACACTATTTCAAACGTATTACAGTCAACAACTAATTAATGTATGTAAATATTTAGGAGGTACCAGTTGGAGGAAATATTTAGGAGATACCAGTAAAAATAAACAACGTTTATTTTTTGGGAAATAATTAAACCTTCGTTTCCGCAACTTATAAAGTCTATATTCAAAATATTGCTCAAAAATATAAATGTAAAATTAATTGTTGCTGTTTTAGAATTACTTTATTATGGTGTTTTCAGGTGTTTTACTAACGATTGTTTGAATGTGTACATTCATAGATTTTGCAAACATTTTAAATGTTACATTGGCAGAATATCAAATTCCTATTGCTGTTTATATGTTAAATGCAACTGAATAATGTAACTTCCATTTTTTTTTGACACTATTTCTAAAGAAATATTTAAATGGTTCAATAATTTACAAAAAAAATAGTTGACAATCTTCAATTTTTATAAAATTCTTGGAAGAAATGTTCGATTATATTTAAAAAATGATATTTAAAATAAATAATAGCACTAATTACTAATTTAAGGTAAGTTTTTGTTTGAGGTAATTTTCGTATTTATTTCTTTTGGTATCTTACAATACAAAGTAGATAATTTTTGTGAATTTTTGCAGTACCTTGATAAAAGATATAAGTGAAATTATCAATTATTTAATATTAAATAGTGATTTAAAAAATATAAAATAATCAAAAAAGGAAAAACAATTGCTATAAAATCAAAATAAAAAGAATAGGTACTTCTATATAAAAGGAGTATTTCAATGTGAAATATTAATTTACAATTCTTCCAAAGTTAGCACATTTTTTTAAATAATATAAAGCAAGTCTAAATAAATACACACTTTATTTAAATGTGCAAGCAATAAGTTCATTAGATTTTTCTTATGAATTTGGGAATTTCACTAGCAACCGACCAAGTGTTCCAGAAAAACATAGCACTTGAACAAGAGAAAACTTACTGTTTAGAGAAATAATCATCGATAACACATCAGTTTTGCATTTTTATATGAATTTGTAGTGCAACATGCATCAATGATTAGAACTAGTCTCCGTACTTACAGACGTTATAATTTGTTCCCTATTACATCTACCGCTTGTACTGTTACATACACAAATAGACAGTAAGTAACCTTTATATAAAATTTAAAATTAAATGACATGCCAAAGACCTGAAGACTTAATATTTTTTAAAGATGAGGGAAGCTGCACTGAACAGTATTATAAATGTTCAAAAATATATGAATATGATACCATAGTTAGATACTTTTATGTTGTCGACATAATACAAAGGAATATATCTACATGTAACACCTTACTTTTGTTTTGAGATTTATATGAATGTGTTTGGAAAAGTACTTCAAAACGAATCCATGTATATATTTTTGTTTCAGTGAATGAAATGGTGGCTACTAAAATAGGTGCCAATGTAATTAAAAACTGTAATTGAATAATAAATGATTATAAACTACTTTTGTTTCTGTTATATCCAACTTTCTCATGTTAAAGGGTCGTATAGTAGGATATGCCCAAAATCTAGATAAAAACATCTAGACACATATTTAGATCTAAGAAACAGTTTGGTAGAAAATTATATGAGCGGCATTTTACAGATACTTGGGCAGAAGATTCCAGCAGACCAAAATAGGTCTCGACAACATGCAGCAGTCTTAAACCGATTATTGAAGCAGCAAATATACAGTTCAATTCAATTAGTCGTTATGATAAGCTGCATAAGACCGTTCAGTTTTCTTTCATTGCACAGAATATAAAATAAATAAATAATTGCTCTCTGGAAACACCAATCTTAGCAAATTGGGTATAAAAAATTCGAATTTGACCTCGGAACAAGCAGTTTTCATGCTATGAGACAAAATCTCATCAAAAATAGTATGATCTTTTGTGGTAGCTTTATTCGCCACTTCTACACACAGACACCCTTCTCTAAATACTAAACCTTTAATAAAATATTGTTAATTATTTTTAGAATAAATACTCACTCTAAAAAAGTGGAGAACACTTTAAAAGTTCCTTTTTGAAACCAAGGACATTATTTTAAGTATTTTTTCCTAGAAAATATACAAAATTTTCCAAAAGTTAACCCAGTAGGTACTATTAATAGGCTATTGATTATATCCAAAAAAACAGGGTTAAAAGGAACTATGACGTTCAAGCAATTTTATTGCATGAATTGTTCAACGGGTTATTTTAGATGAAAAAACCGCGGAGTGCTTTCAGTTTATTAATTGTAGCTCGAAAACAAAGCAGAATTTCACTATAGTTCATAGAAAATATTATTTAGAGAATTGAATTTCCTATCGAAATGGCTTATTTAAAAAAATTTTAAAGGAAAATTTTATGCAAAAAATTTGAAAAAAAAGTAAGAAATTCGATTTTTTTATTTTTTTTACTTTTTTACCTCTAGTTTTTTTTTGAATAAATGTAGGTACAGGCATTGCTTCATAGATAGAAAAAATAGATAAAATGTCCTTCAAAATAAGAAGCTGTAAAGTATTTTTGGATGAAAATTGACTGATATATGGCCGCACACTTACAATTAGCCAATTTTTCGAATTTCATCGTGTTTACCCTTATACGTTTTAATTCTCATTTTTCGCAAAAAAGGAAAGAAATAAGGCGTTCAAGGATTTTCATCACATGACTTGTTCAATGGGTCATTAAAAATGAAAAACCCACGGGCAACTATTAAATTAGAGGTTTGAAACAGTTGAAAAAATCACAAAACAGTTATTTGTTTTAACTAGGCAGTAAAGTACAAGATTTAATGCCGCGACTGGTATTTAATAGACGAGGCGCAGCCGAGTCTACTAAGCCAGCCACCGCGGGGTGCTATTAAATTAGAAGGTTGAAATTGAAGATAGGGGTGAAAATGCACTTTTGCAGTTTTTTAAATATAGCATAAAAACGAAGCAAAATTTCGGTATAGTTCATAGGGAAAATTTTGTAGAGAATTGAATTTCCCATTGATATGGCGTATTTAAAAAATTTAAAAGAAAAATTTTATGCAAAAAATCGTTAATAAACAAAAAAAAAAGCAAAATATAAGATTTTTTAATTTTTTTTTACTTTGTTAACTCTAATTTTTTTAGAAGGCAAAGAAAATTGCTGTACCAAAAAACTTGATGAGATTCCCTTCAAAATGATGTGTTTTCAAAAGTTTTTGGAGTAATACTGACTGAGTTATAACCAGTCAAACTTAATACTTTTTAGATTTTCGTCGTTTTTAACATAATGATGATTATAATTCTTATTATTTTTACAATAAATTGGTTGTTTACGTAATAAAAAATTATTTCAAGTTTTATTTGTTAAAAATGAATAAAGATTTTTACAACTTATAGTCAAAAAAGTAAATAAAATCAAAAAATCTTAAAATTGTTTTTTTTTAATTGTTTATTACCGTTTTTTTGTATAAAATTATTCCTTTAAATTTTTTAAATAAGCCATTTCGATAGGAAATTCAATTCTCTACAAAATTTTTCCTATGAACTTTTGCTTCGTTTTCGTGCTATATTTAAAAAACTGCAAAAGTACATTTTCACCCCTATCTTCAGTTTCAACTCTCTAATTTAATAGTACCCCGCGGTTTTGTTAATTTTTAATGACCCTTCGAACAAGTCCTGTGATGAAAATCCTTGAACGTCTTATTTCTTTCCTTTTTTGCAAAAAAATGAGAATTAAAATGTATAAGGGTAAACGCGATGAAAATTGGCTAATTGTAAGTTTGAGCGGCCATATATTAGTCAATTTTCATCTAAAAAGCCTCTTATTTTGAAGGAAATTTTATTTACTTTTTTTTATGATGCAATGCCTATACCTATCTTTAATAAAAAAAAAACTAGAGGCAAAAAAGTAAAAAAAATCAAAAAATCGAACTTTTGTTTTTTTTTTTCAAATTGTTTATTAACGATTTTTTGCATAAAATTTTCCTTTTAAATTTTTTAAATAAGCCATTTCGATGGAAAATTTAATTCTCTAAATAATTTTTCCTATGAACTATAAAGAAATTTTGCTTTGTTTTCGAGCTACAATTAAAAAACTGAAAGGCGTGCATTTTCCCCCCATCTCCAATTTCCACCCTCTAATTTAATAGTACTCCGCGGTTTTTTCAACTAAAATGACCATTTGAACGATTCATATATAAAATATTTTGAAAGTCATAGTAGTTCCCTATAAAAATCCTTTAATCAATAGTCTTTAAAAGAAAGGTAATAAGGTAAATCACAATACTTTAAAAACTGTATAATATGTGTTACATATTTAGTTGTGGATTAAGAACAATTAATTTGATTATCACATTAAATATTTGTAAGTATAAAAGCATTTAAAATATTTATTTACATTATAAAATACTGTTATCACATAATTCTCCTTTACCGTTGTGTACATGACTGCTAAATACAAAAAACTGCACGTAAATAAGTGTTTACAGGACTTGAACTTTCTTGCACTGACCATTTTGCTGCTTTATGAAATCTATGATATCGTACCCATTTTGCCATATACACACGTTAGATTTCACGGTCCTAGATATTCCATCATCATCGACATACCTGCCATCTTTAGATTTCTTCACTAAATCCACACATTTATACTTATCCCTTACACAGGCCAAATCGTTGCCTCTTAGCCTTAAAATAGGGCAAAAATCGTTAATTCCGTCACCGATATAAACAATCATGTCATAAATTAAGTCATTTAGTCTTTGGTCAGCTACAAAATCTTCCATTATTTGACCCTTACACAAATTTTTTGTGCTAAGTTTGCAGTGGTCCTGCAAATGGTACATCCTGATTTTTAACAATCCATCCTCAAATTTTGCCGGATTTGAAAACACTTTCAATATGTTGCTCTTTAAATTATTTTCCTCCAACCATAAATCGATAAAGTGATGATTTGAGTCGCTAATAATAATTACGTCAAAATTTAAGTTTTCATTTATCTCTTTGATCAACTCTGGCATTCCCTGCACTGCAGGTAAATTTCTTATTAGATTATTTATAGCATCCTCCTGTACGTTATTTTCATGTAAGGTTTTGAAGACACCCTGCATATAAGCCGTCCAGCCATCGGACCTGTGCAACATTTTGATTTCTTTCGGAATTTTATTATCCACTAATTTCATAACAGCAGTGTCAGAATTATCGTTTACAATTGTATGATCAAAATCAAATACTGCCAAGTTTCGTGTCATCTAAAACACAAAATATTTTATACGACGTAGGTACATATTTAATTCTACAAAAACTGAAATAAATATTTGGCAGTAATCTCGAAAAAAAATTTATTTGATCACTTTTTTTCAAAAGTATTTTCTATATTAAAAGTACCAAAACTTACTTCTACTAGTAATTACTCAAGTCACAACTAAAACAGAAATTGTCCCGGGTCTTACAAAACTAGAACTATTTATATTATTTATTAATATATCTACACAGTGGACCTTTTCCAAATGTGATCATTAAATACAAAAAGCGCGCTTCGTATAATAATAGTGGATAACTGCCAGTGGTTCATTTAAAAAAAAAATAGAAATAAAAATTGAGAATAATATACATATAACACAGACTCACTTACCTTGTCACGTCCGATGCTGTTCACTAATTGTTTAAGTAACGATACACCTAAATTTAAAATGCGGCTATTTAAGCATTTATCAAATAAATCTTTCAACACCATACGAAAAATTTTGTTTGATGTTTCATTGACCTTTAACGTTTGAATGCAGAAAACATTTCGAGGTTATGTGGCGACCAATTAGCTAATCTCGAAATTGCTGTTTTAAGCTGATTAACTGTTAATTAGGTACATTAACTATATACATTAATACCTACTTTTTATTGAAAGAACAATAGAAACTTGTTTTAAAAACCATGTTTATGTACCTTTTGCACGGTAGTTTCACTTTTCTCCACCAACTAGCGCTCAAAACGTAAACAAAAGTGTACGAGGGTTGTACAATAATTTCATTGATTACTTTACTACATACGAATACTTCATTTTCCAGAGTTGGCAAAACAAATTAATGATTTTTTAAAGGTATATAATTACATTTTTTCTACAAACTTTTAAATATTTTTGTTAGGAGAAAAGTATTAGCTACATTCAATTTAATAGTAATTTGAATACCAAGTGTACCAATACCAATACCAAGAATACCAATTTGAGTACCAAATAAGTATGTACATATTCTTGCAACACATTCAAATACTACTGTTAAAAATTTGTTATATCTTGTATACTGTGTTTCACTTTACATGGGACTACCTATGTTTTTATTTTTTATTGTTTTTCACATTTTCAGCTCAAAATAATTATATGCAATGTAAGTATTCTGATTATCGTAAACTTCAAAACTATTAAGATAGGTGGGATTTTCTTTTTAAGTTATTCAATTTTCAAGTATTTTTTTATGTAATTGCTAATAAAAAATTACATTTTTACATTTATTGAAAATATTCACAACAAAAAATACGTGGCAAAATAGCGAAGACAGTGATAATATAAGGTTAAGTAATTCTTGCTATTTCAATTAACCAACTTCCTTACCTATGCATTTTCAACCTTTTTATTACTTTTGTTCTTTCTTGTTTAGTAATTTTCCTTATAAACTTTTTTCTTAAGCTCTTACACTATTTTTTAATGGTTTACACAAAAAAAAAAATAAGAACTTGCCAGCTTAATATGATACAAACAGTAAAAGATATTAATAAGTTAATTTTAATGGTATGTACTTTGATTAACAGTTACACTAAAATAAAAAAATTAAGTTTGTATACACAAAACATTTTATTCAATTTTGGTAGCAAGGTTTTTAGTGATGAATTAGAATGCATTACTATAACTTTTAGAAAAAAAAAATCACTAATTAATTTAAAAAATCCACTTTTTTTCATTATAGGATTGGACAAGCATGACTAAAATCAAATTTGATCATATTAAAATAATCGCTTTGCAAGTAACCATTTCATACAAAAATATGAAAAGATATATTCCAATTTAAAATACTCGAGATATACAGCGATAGTCCATGAAAAGTTAAACAGTGTTTATTACTTTTTTATTAATTTTTCAATGATACCATTTTATACGTAATTTCTATAAACATTTATTGTATAATAACACTTTAATATATACCGGGTGATTCATTTTGTTATTAATGGCCTCATATCTCTTTTATTTTAACAAGTAGCTGTAACAAACCCTATATATTTTTAAATCGCCGCTCAACGGGCCAAACTCTATCAATGGTATTATTAGATAGTATCCATGGTAATATGTCGAAATTGCAATAGTCAACTGTTTTTGTTCAAATGGTGTAAGTACTATATATTATTTTATCAATTCTGGAAGATATTTTTTCCCGCGTTCAGATATATAAGTAAATCCATAGTTTCATTAGAAATATTGCTAGAAAAACAGCAAAAAAGATGAACCTTACTTTCAGTAGCTTTATTCTGAAAAATGATAGCCAGCTGCAGAAACAACTGAATTATGACATTTCTAAATAACGGTTTGTCAAAATAATTGACATTTTGTACCTACCTATTCTATCTATAACTAATTATAACATGAATGCTTACTATAACTAAGAAAATCTAGATATGATTTTAATTTATGGAGTGCCGAAAGAACACTAAAGCTGCCAGGTATTTATACCAACATCGGTTTCCCCAGAGACAACTTCCATCAGCTAAAATTTTCGGAAAGTTAGCAAGGAATTTGGCGGCAGCTGGAAGTTTTCAAAAGAAAAGAAGAGTTTGTAAACCTAGAAGGGCCTTCTAGATCTCCGGATATCACTGCTATAGATTTTTACCTTTGGCCATACCTAAAATAAAAAGTTTACTCTTCGCCTTTAAATGATATTGACGACCTTAAAAACACAATAAGAGTAGAATGTCGAAGCAATCGCATTATCTCGAGCGTGGACGTAACAGTTTGTCATTGTTTATTGTGAATGAATCATTAATATTGACGACATTAACATTTAGGGATTTTCAGTTGGCAGTACCAATCGTGCATTGTTGGTTGCCTAAGCTCGGCGATCACGTGGCTTGGAAACATTTATTAAGGCTCTGTTTGAAAATTTTTTTAGATTAAGTATTGTTACAAGACATTCATTTATTCAAAAATTTAAAATGACAATATATCAACAAACAAAATTAACGATTTTTATTGAAAAAAATTCTACACAAATAAAATAACAGAAGTGTTTGAATATTATATTTATACCACAAAAAAAAATGTTAACAGCTATACAATATATTTACTTGTTTACTCGGCAGCTTTAACTAAAGCTTCACCCACTTCAACGGCAATTTGCGCCTCGGCTCTCGCCTAAAAAATATTAATATTTAAATTATACATGTACAGTAAACCGTAAAATTGTCTATACCTCATCAGTACTAGCAGATGACAACTGGCTTTGAGCTTTGCTGAGGATATCCCTTGCTGCTGATACGTCTAGATTTTCTACAGGATGAGCCTCTTCCGCCAGTATCTGAGACAAAAAATACACTTAATAACAGTAAAAATTAACAAATATCTGTAATACCTGCACTGACGAATCATCATTGATGGTTACAGTTCCACTTGATACAAAAATTTGGTTAACTTTGCCGTCATTTTCGAATACTGATACAACTCCAGGTTTAAGGACAGCTAACGTAGGTACATGAGCTGGCAGAATACCAAAACTGCCAGAGAAAGAAGGAACATCTACTTGCCTCACAGACTTGTTATCGTAATACACCTAAATCATAAATTATTTTATGTTACATATAAATTCTATTTAACATATTAAAATACAGTCGTCCTACAATAATATTGCATAATACTAAATATCGCTCGACTTTAAAATGAAGATACTTAACAACCAACCTGTCTACTGAAATTAAAGAGTTCACTTAATGTACCTGATTGCCAGCAGCAAATGTGAAGCTCATTTCATCTGCATACCCTCGTTTAATGGCAGTATTAATAGTTCTGCGAGTGAGTAAACGAGACATGGAACGAATTGCAGCCATTTTAACTAAAAATTGTCAAAAAGATCTTTATTAGTTTTTCAATAGCCAGATATAGGAAAAATTTGTATAACCTCACTTATTACATAACATACGAAAAACTGAAAAAAAAAATGTTTAAAATCATTACATGCTCTATAAGTTTATGAGGGAAAATGCTATTAAATTGTATTACAGTACTTACATTTGATTTTTTGTATTAAAAAAAGGGAATACCAGTACAAACTCGCCCACCCCACCAGCAACACAATCGAATACCACTGACACTGAACCCTAATAAATGGTGATATTACATCACTGATATAAGAAAATTAGTGATGGGACTACTCGAATGAAAATTATCGATTATATCGATTATGAAAATCTCTCGAGATATCTCGAGTGGTCATATAGAATCATTCGATTATTCGGATACGAATGACAGTGGCCACAGCGTTACTAATACCTGCACTACTCGAGCGAGTGCGCAGATGTTTCGATTGTTCCAACGCTCTAACGAGCTACAACATCTCGAGATAAGACGGCCGAGAGGATANTATGGAACACTAGCGCCACCCCAACTTCTGCCATTTCTTGGACAAATTTTGTCAATTTTCCCGTATGAGTTCGTGCTCCTTATCTAGTCTCCATGTCTTCACCCTTCAGCTGAATATTCTGTTAGTATTATTCAACTAGTATTGTCAGCCGGTAACTTAACCTTTTTCTTTTTGACATTTTATTTGAATGAGGATAAAAATCGTTCAGCAAAATGACGGATTCTGATACAGATGTTTTAGTAAACGTAGACGTTGAAACAGCAAATATTTTACTTAAGTAATGGTCGTAAGATTAATTTTTTATATGGGACATATTTGCGATCCACTTTGCTTCAGGATTATCCTCTTTTTTTTGTGACCTAGGCCAAAGATAATATTGGTGGAATCATTTGTAATTCAGGTCTTTTTCGTATGAATTACATAAAAAACCGACCTAACCTCTTTCTAGTTTAATTTTTTTATATAAAAAATTTAAAAACATATATGGGGAGCCTTGAAGCCATATGTCAAAGTCGTCAAAGTACATATGACAGGCGCACCACTGAATAGTGAATATTTACATTTTCGCGATCTGTTCAGGTTAGACAAGGTTACAAATAAGATTAAAAAGAGATAGAAACAGTAACTACAAGTCAGATGTATTCACCAATATTCACTCGCGAAAAAAAGCCTACAATTTGTCCAAGAAATGGCAGAAGTTGGGGTGTCGCTAGTGTTCCATGTGTACCGAAGTGAATGTAGCTTAATAAATACGAGTGAAGTAAGCAAATAACCAATTTTATTTTATAATGAGTCGAGTATATATATCAGGAAGGTATAGATACTAACCTAAAAAGTAGAAGTCAAGTCAATGATTATTGCAATTTGTTTTTATAGTAGTAAATAAAAACTGCCGCTATTTTGATCTCCCCTCTCTAAACGGTGCATATGGGACACTAACGCCCTCTTAATTTGGTAAAATATTTGTTTACATGGAGTTCGGGCTCCTTGTGTATGTGTAGTCTCCACGAACTGAAATGTGAAGTCTCCATGCACTGAAGCAGGGAGACTAGACAGTCTGAAGCGGACTGACAAATAAAGAGGGTAGCTTTTATGCCCGCATACATACATGAAAACCAAAGTACTTACAGTATTCGCATATTTATGGATAAATAAAGATTTACAAATATGGAAATAACAGAAAAAAAATTATAAAACCTCATTTTTATCGGCAGAAACATGTGCAAAGATGGCGCCACGTTATAAGTAGACGGAGCGTTTCCGATCTCTCTTCTCTCTAAGCTTTGATATTTTTCTTCTTCTACTTAAACTTTAGTGAAAGAAATTAAAAATTAAAATTCAATTGTGGTTATGTTGAACGTTTTCTTAAAATTTAAAATAGTGTTAAATTATAATGATTTTGTTAATTTCATGTTCTGGATTTCAGATTCAAATTATTTTAAACAATTACTGTGAATTTTTCAATAACTGGAATGTCAAAAAATAACGTCTATTTACAATGCGCTTAATATATTTAAAAATTCATAGTAACATCATAGTCAATAGCTCGAGATCTCCATACACATGCTTAATATCCCTTAGAAAAGTCTACAGTACCAGGTATAGGCAAGTTTTTCTCATAAAATTCCAAATTTTCTTTAAATTGTTCTGCTATATCTTTTGCTCGACTCATTCCGGACACATGGGGAGATATGAATACCTTAAAAAATATATAGACACCGATTCATTATACATGTTATACTTACATTTTCCATTTTCCATAATAAACTTTCTTCCCTCAATGGTTCATTGTCAAACACATCCAGAATTGCTCCAGATATCCACTTCTCTTGAAGAGCCCTGACAAGACTCTCCTCGGAGATTACACTTCCTCTCCCAACATTTACAAATACTGTGCCTCTTTCTAAAATAACATAATCCTTAGTTGTTCTTGGAAAAATATATAATAAGTACCTTTACAATTCTCCAAAACAGTTCCATGCAACAATCCCTTAGTTTGATCAGTGCTTGGCAATACATTGACAACATAGTCACAATTATGTAAAAATCGAGTTAAATCGTTACCATTAAAATACTGGCTGATATGATTATTTTCCACTAGATCAATCGAGTCTCGTCTTCCATACCCAAAAACTGTTGCACCCATGTAGTTTAAAAGCCTCCCAACTAAAAGTATTCACTTTAATGAGGTAATATCGATTACATTTTACTTACCTATTACTTTTATCACCAATATTTCCTACACCTAATATTCCAATTGTTAAATCAAATATAGACCTATACTCGGTTATTTTCCCTTTTCTGACCCATTGCTGCTTGTTTTGATTTTCCTTCATTTCAAATATACCTCTCTCAACATTAACAATACATGCAACTACATATTCTCCAATGAGACGTCCAAAATGGTTTCCCGTGAACCTAACAATAGGAAATGTGGGAGGCGTGTTGCTTCTGATATGCGGAATAAGTGCATCGATACCTGCCCAAGTACCTTGTACCAATTTCACATGTGGCAAATTATATATGTGAGGCCCAATTAGATCATAATCTCCTACGATAATGTGAGATTTTCGAAACTGTTCATCATTTTCTAAAAAATATGCCTCAGTATCTATAAGTAAATTTATATAAACTTATAAACCTATTTCTTGCACACAATGAAATGTAATATTAGGAAGAACTCTTTGTAGTTCCTTATAGATATTAGTTGTTTTACTAAACACGGATACCACAGCACTGGACATTACTTTAAAGCCTTATTTATTTACTAACAAATACAAATTTTCATTAGTATCCTATTAAAAACTTGAAAAAAATTAAGTTTTTTTTTATTGTATTTGTAAATATATATATATATATTATATATTCGATGTATGTACCATTGATATACCTATTGATAAGACAAAGATTAGAGATATGTGGATATGTTACATAATACCGTATAAGTAAATAATTATACAATGATAATACATAATAATAATAATTAGTGATATTCAAAATCTGTGATCATAGGGATTTACGAAAAAAGACGAGACATTCTTCTAGTCTAGACAAGAGATTCAAGATCAGATCACTTAAGTCTAGACTATACTAGACTTACTTCTATTCTAGATATATTTGTATCTAGGCAGGGTAATGGCCGGTCCTCATGTACAATAATTTAGTGCGGAACACATACTTCTATCCTATAGAAGTATGTGGTGCGGAACTGCGGAGATGCGGAATCACGTGATCACAATATCGAAAAAATATTGGACGCACAGCAGCCATTTTGAAAAAGTGACAGATCCGCATGCGTTCCGGATAAAAGTTAACTAGGTTAAACTTTTTCCGTATTCCGGTGTTTACTTTTGTGCTCGTGTGACATTTATCGGCCATTTGTATTTGTTTATATTCTGAAAACGTGTTTGATTAGTTTGTTTTTTATCTATTTCGTCTCTATAATTAATTATCAGCCAAGAAAATATCTCACCCACATTTTTTTATGTTTTTTTTGAAACTCCAGAATAGAATTGTATATCTTATACATTTTTATCAATCTTTCACGGTAACATTTTTTATACCTCAAAGCACACCTATAGGTGCGTTTTGTTGGATTGATTCCGGAATTGAATTATGCAGAATGGGCGTTTTATTGCAAGGATAATCTGAATCCGGTTATAACTTTTGCTTCTGTGGTTTGAGATGGAATTATTAGAATTAAGATATATATGGAATTAAGTGGTGGGGAGATCAAATTTGTGAGGTTACTGTGGAGGTTACTTAGGTAGCTGGTGTAGCATTGGTCCCATGGAGACTACTCTAGTCTCCCTGATTGGTCCGTTGTTGAGATTCGGCATCTGTCTAATATCAGATTTGATTCGAATCGTTTTATTGATAAATGTCATTCTAAAGAATCCAATAAATCCGGGATTGATCCAACAAAACGCACTTATTGTGAAGAGTTAGAATATTATGACAGTTATCAGCTGATTGAAAATATTGAAATCAATTTTAGTTTTATTTATTTTTGAGTGGAATACAAAGTGTAAGTAGTTAAAACTTTTAAGCAATGGGTTTTATCACTGTAATACCGTTATATTTATTGTACACTTTCCTCGTAGGGGGATCATTTTGTTGATTAGAAATAATAAACCTAATGATGAGTAAAACAGAAAAGTTGAAAAACCATCATAAGCAGCTAGAACTTTGCCAAACAAGACCAGCATACAGACAAGGCAGAAATTTAACAGCAGTAAAGGTAAATTTACTGTACTCCTGTGTAACATCTCTGTTTTTCGTAGTTAAAACATTTCAAACAACCTAATACCAACAGTTAACTTATTTTCTAGGTGTACACGATTAGTTCAGAATCCCAACATCTTTTCATCTACGGAGTACCTTCAATAAACCTGCGAAATGAGCTGAAGAGATTGTGCACAAAATATGGAGAACTAGTAAACATTCATGTCGTTCCTAATGTCCCAACGGAAATGTTCACAGAGTGTTATCATGTTCAGTATCGTAGGATACAATCTGCCCGCATCGCCAAGAGATTACTAGACACGAAATCTTTTTACGGAGGTGTTTTGCACATATGTTACGCTCCCGAATGTGAATCTGTACAGGAAACAAAGGCAAAATTGTTACAAAGAAAACGTGACGTATTAAACAGGCTACCGAAAAGAGCACATCCAGGCAACACTTAAATGTTATAACTATTTAGATTTGGAAGTTTGAAATACAAGCGATCTTGAACAAATTAATTTTTGTGGTCCAAATATTCCGAAATCATGAAGGGCATGAAAAATGTAAGTGTACTATTGAAAAGGATTTATAAATAAACGAAAATAACACCTTTTAGTACTTTTATTTTTCATTTATAGACCTTATTTCAAATAAAATATATTTGCATACAAATTTAATATATTCCCTATATATTAAGTAAATAAATTATAAAACAGCTATAATGTGATTACAGTTAGTACATAACATTAACGCAATATATAATTTTGTACATTGTATCTATAAAATCAAGTTTTGTCATTTACAAAATGAGATTAATGAAATACAAAGTTTAAAAACGATCAGCCAGTGTTTCTGAAATGAAAATAATTGCTACAATGTCCCATATTTATAAAAATTAAAAGATTAGTTGATAATAGGTTCAAATTTATGAAAAAATGTATTTATCAAAAATACTATAACAATAACGAGTTGTTAAAAAGAAGCATTGAAATAATAAAATACACATTCAGCTAGTGACCACCTTGTACGGATGTTAATATATTAACGGAAAATACAACCATAGAAGAATTGCTTAATTTCCATCTACTTACTTTCCAATATGGTGACATTTAAATATATTACACAGATCATACTCCGAGGTATTTACCATTTACCGATTTCAAGTTCATGCAGAAGCATGTGGTTTAAATTTTAGCTATATTATTATTTAAATAGTTTTTATGAAAGCTCTAGATTAGACTGCAATACGATGTACAACCCGAATGAGATGGATGTTCCTTTTCACCAATATGAATACTATCACCTGCATAAGATTCCCACAACCCAGGAGTTTGAATTATCTGAAAAAAAAAGTTCATAAACATGATATTCTAACTTCAAAAATATCTACCTTATGCACTAATTCCTCAAAAGCAGATGCAACACCGTCTCTTGTTTTAGCACTAGCTTCGATATACAGGGTTTGATGTCTCCTTGCAAAGTTTTTAGCTTCTTCCCTAGGTACCTCACGTTTTTCCTGGAGCAAAGATCAATTACGTTTACATAAAATTATATTGAAGTCTAGAATACTTACAATATCTATTTTATTCCCAACTATCATTTTTACTATATTACTTTTTGTAGAATATGTTTCTAGTTCGTTTATCCATGTTTCCAACTTAGCAAAGGAGGCGTAATTACTAACATCGAATACTAATATAGCACCTTGGGCATCTCGATAATAGGAAGGGGTCAATGTGCGAAACCTTTCTTGGCCAGCCGTATCCCATATAGCTAATTTTACGGTATTTCCATCCACCGTTAACCTTTTCGTTTTAAAATCTACGCCTATCGTTAAAGTTTGTTCTGGATCAAAATTGTCTTCCGTAAACCTTAATAGTAAGCTCGATTTTCCCACACCACTCTCTCCTATTATAAGGATTTTTAAGGTAGTTAAAATATCTTCATCCATTATTGAATGTTTTGTGTGTTAACGAGAATACTTATTCAGCCGATGTTTCTACATTAAATGCCTTTACAAAAATTTTTAGTATAGCTAAATGGATCCCAATTTTCGTGAAATAACACAATGAAATGTTAATGTTTTTAAACTTTATACGCACAAATCTAAAAATTGACGTAATAACCAATTTGTCAACAATAAAACGTCGTCACTCAAAAATTTTCTTCTTCTTCTTCTGGTTCTAGTAACTTAAAACAATGGGTTCACGTGCCTCACAATTCTTAGGTGGATCGTGTTCTCCATCTGATTTAGTGATTCGACAATAAGTTCACTTTGATTTTGAAATATTTCTGAAAAGCTGCAGCAGTGTCACCAATTTTCTTCTAGCACATATTTTCTGCTTTTATTAATTCAAAATGAGGCTTTTAACAACAAATAAAAGATAATATACATATTTTCAAAACTATATTTATCAACATTTACTATTTTTTTTCATTATTACGGGCACAATCTCACAAATCTTTTTCTTTTTATGTTTCTTCAATTGTGTTTGAGAAGTGTAACTTTTACAACACTTTTCACATTGGAACATTTTAATGCCGGTGTGCTTCCACATATGATATTTGAGGTGAATCGACTGCAAAAACGTTTGACCGCATTCAGTGCAAAGGTAGTTTCGCTTCCCGTCATGGGTTTTCTGATGATATTTATATGTACCGTAAGTTTTAAACTCGCTGCCACACTTGCTACAAATATATTTTGGAGATTCGGAATGAGTATGAAGGTGCTTCCTCAGGCACCATGCGGTTAAAAATGATTTCGTACAATTTTTATAAGAACATTTGAAAATTTTTCTATCATTATGAGTTTTCATATGATAGTATAGCCCACTTCGCCGGCCATAGCTTTTGCTGCAAATATCACACTGAAATCGATGTGCTTTTCTAAAATGTTGGACATAGAGATCTACAGTTAATATGGATCCTAAGGAACATTTATTACACTTTAATTTAATGTCTTCATGAGTTAATAAATGTTTTACAAAACCCACTTCGAACTTTAAGAACGACTGCCCGCAAATAGGACATACAAAATTTTGTGTGTCCTTTTTCTGCAAACAAAAACTTGATTCTACTAAGTCTTCTGATAATTTGTTTTGCAATTCTTCATTTACTAGAATGTCTGCAGACTCCCCTTCGCTTACATTAGATTCTAAGGCATTATTTTCAAAATCACCGCTATATTTAATACAACTTCCTTCTTCAACAGACAAATCTTCATTAAAAATTTGTATTTCTTCACCTTCTTCGACATCTTCCTCAATTATCCTTACATTAGTTCTATCATTTACATCATTATCAAAATCCTTATATTCAATAATTATTTCTTCAATATTATCACTGTTATAATCTTGTACTTCTTCATTATATTCTATTTCACATAGAGAATCATTTTTCTTGCTATCTTCGTTTTTAACATGTTTGTGCCTATTTTCGAGCAATCTTCTGTTTGATTCCTTGAACTGTCGAATGAAATTATAAGCTATTCTTATAGTCCTAAAACACGGTATACAAACTGCTGTTGGTAAATCGTTTTCTAATATAACCTAAAAAATTAAATATCCTATATATACAGACATCTAACTTGATACAAATAAAATGTATCACCTCAACTAGGGTGCAGTAATTAATCATACTTGAAATATCTTCATCAACATTTGGTATTCTTCCTAGTAGAGGATATAATTTATCAGATTTTTCCAAACACACTCTACATATGTTTTCTACAGAAGTATTTTCGAAGCTCATACTAGTAACTAGTATTCAAATTTTTTAAAAGCAATAAAAAAATAAATATGAATATAAATTTAGGAAGTTGGGTTAGTTTTCACATTCCGAAAACATCTTTTTGGAGATTGGAGTACGTTCAGTTCAGGTTTAAATTCAAAACGAAGGGCAGTGTTCACAACCTGAAGTGAGGTAGCTATTGTACCCGCAGCGTAGAATTATCCTAATTGGACCAGAATTATCGTACCTAATTATCAAAATAATGTCTATAATGAATAAAAAAAAATCATATTAAAAGTAATGATATTTTTGCAACCACTTGTCAACTATCGTTTGAAATTAAAATAACCTTTTTACCTTATGTTTTACGTATGGCACATACTCTGAACCAATTACACTTTGAAATTAATAGCGGCGGCAACATTTTAAATTAGTTCAAAAAAATTGCACTGGTCCCAACCCAAGACCCATAGTGCATTTCGAATTTATGAGGAAAAAATAAATATGGAACGATAGTAGGTTATTAGTGACAAATAAAAGCATAAACTTTTTCAATATAATTTTATGTCAATATATTCTCGGGAACAAAAAATATAATATCCATGTAAAACTAGTTTACATATAAGCTCTTTTCTTTTATCCATGATCCGATGGAAACCAATCGGGGTTGTTAGATTTCGGATCGTAACGCGTTATGATTCTCGCGCGCGCCATTATTCCATGGCTAGAAATTGGCCTCAATGATTTGGGATCGAGGGGGATTATTCCTCTTTACCCTGCCTCATCTCGTGTAGGCCTGGACAGCCTTCGTAGGTGGGCCCCAGCCGTCGTCTACCCCGACCGCAAATGCGGCCGGTGTAGGCGCTTTGTGGGACCTCCTTTTGTCCTGGCTGGGCCCCGCCGGCTAGGGCCCTTTCTTCTNGTGGGCCCCATCCGTCGTCTACCCCGACCGCAAATGCGGCCGGTGTAGGCGCTTTGTGGGACCTCCTTTTGTCCTGGCTGGGCCCCGCCGGCTAGGGCCCTTTCTTCTGGCGCTCTTCTTGCTTCGCCGCCTCGTCTGTGTAAACCCCGGGGGTGATGTCATGTTTATGTATGGTATGTTTGGGTAGGGTAGTGCGGCTATGCAGCCTGGGATGCGCTTTGCTAAGGTGGCCCTTAGGGTAGCGCGGGAGGGGAGGAGTAAGGAGGGTATGGGGGGTATGTGGGGGGGGGGTTATTATGATTCTGAAATCGTGAACAAAAGATCTGGTAATTAAGGAACAAAGAGAAGTCTCCATGGAACATAGGATTTTGTCGTTACGTTACCTAAGGAAGGAATGAGCCAATAGATAGCGCCTGTTATTGGCTGACAGAGTAGGAATAAAATGAATTCTCAAAATTTGCATCATATTAGAAATTATCGTACAATCTGCGTACAATAATAATGTACTATGGTACACATACCATGAAATTATCGCATATGTACGATAATTATCGTACGATTTTGAACACTGACTCGATTCGGGATGATAAAATGCCACACGGTATCGAGGCATATATATCTCTTTCTAGTAGATGCTTTAGAAAGAGACCCACATGGGTATATTCAATTCTTTATTTCTGCATTTCTGTCAATGCAAGTATATATCCAACATAAAAAAAAATGATAACGTATTAACACATATTTTATGTGGTATTAACTTCGGATTTGTTTCTGCAATTCTGCAGTAGTTTGCGACTATCACATGGTCGTTAGCCGACACAATTTCGTCCTCTTTGCGCATGACGTCACCTGAGACCAGTCCAAATATCAAATTTTCACTATATTTACAACACCAGTAGTTATAATGGCTATATATTGTATATAAACAGACAATTTAAGTTGAAACCTGTAATTTCCATATTTACATACGGCATGTATAGTGCTTAAAATGTCAGAGTTTACGATGCAGAATCTAAATATTAACGTAATATAAACCAAAATGTCAACTTTGACTTTTGAAGAACATATTTTGCATAATAAATTTGTGTTGTAAAGATATTTGGGTTGCAACAGCTTTGTTAATTAATTAATTAATTAATAAACCGACAAAAAGTTGCATTTCCATAATATACGTCAGTCAGTTTTACGCTTAACTATCGTCAACACATACGCCCAAGTAAACTTAATGGAAAAGTCGTAAGATAATTGAAAATGTTCTACACACTCTGTTGATAGCTCTCCTCTAATCACAATAAAGTATAAAACTATAGGTGCTTCTAATTAATGTTATTTCCACATTCCAACTTTCAGTACAGTCTGTCTACTAAAAGAAAGAAGAACACTATCACATATATATTGTTGGCGCCAAAGGCAGTATAAATTTTTTCTGATAAACGTTGAACGATTGTTCTTTGTGACCATTACTAATTAGAAGTTATTTTATTTTGTGGTTGACATACAAAAAAATAATATTTTGTTATGTATATTATTAAAGTGAAACATGTAAACCATACATAATATTTGATTTGTTATTTTACAAGCATATGAAAAACATAATTTTTTTAAAAATTCCCCGACATAAAATACGCTCATATTATTCGACAAGAACTAACCAATAGAATTATAACGAATTATGGCGGCATCCTGGATGAAGTGGATAAAAAAAGTTGTTAGAAATTGCCTTTCAGTTTACTACAAGAAATCCTTGATTAGAAGTTAATTGATTTATATTTAAGGCCATGGCAATTCAAAAAGTAATAGTAACAATTAAGTCTGATCCTCCTCATAATACCTATACATGTCTCACGTCATACATGTTGTTAATTTTCTTTATACTCCATACAATAAGCAGGTGCATTGGACTTTATTTGCCATCCTTGACTTGCCAAGCGGATCACCCTCACATTTTTATAAGAAAGGGGTGATGTGGATAATTGAATTCCATTCGGTGTTGTTACGGATATGGTGCGCTACTTCACTCAACCTAATGTTACTTGTTACATAGCTATGTACCTACAATCCGCTTGACAAATCACTTCCTTAAAATCCCACCACATTATCTGATTTACGTATTAGTAGGTTGAATAAACATTTAATTTTCTTTGCGGTCCAGGATATTTTATGCCCTATTTTTTAATTGATTAATAAAAAGCAGTCCCTGTTTTATATTATTATTATTTAAAATGCTTATTTTTAACTTTCTTAATTTATTATAGATTTATACATTGTAAACAAGTCATTAATAATTGGTACGCTCTAAGATCTAGGGAATTTTCGTTACTAGTACCAATCGTGCAATGTTGGGTTGCCTAAGCTCTGAGGTTACGTGGCTTGTAAACATTTATGAAGGCTCTGTATGAAGTATGTTTATTTATAACGGGAACTAAAACTTAAAAATCATTGTCTTTAATGATTTTTCAGTAAATGGTCAAACATTGTGTTTTGTATCAATTCTTTGAAGGAGTCGTTCTAGGAAAAATTGTTAGCCTTGTTTTTCATTTATTTTATGGAGAGGCAACTTTATTGGTACACCCTGTATATTGGTATTAAGAGAAGTGATCAATTTTTTTCGTTTATTTCGTTTCTTCCAGTGACAGTTCGGAGCCAAATTTCAGTTGCTGTTACTCGATAAACAGAAAATAGCGATTATTTTGAAGTAATAGGTATACTTTTATTTGGTAAAGAATACTTACAATGTAGAGTATAGATTGTGTAAAATAAATTTAATTCAATTGAAATATGCATTAGATAACAATTAGATAGGACACTATTGTAAAAAAATGATTTAAAAAAATGAGCAGTCCTCTCAGAAATATTTCAATAATAAAATACTACTCGCCAGCTTTATTTTCAACTAATTATTCTTTCTTGATTTAAAAAACAGAAAAGTTCAAATGGAAATCTTAGATGAAGATAATGGTTTCGAAAAAAAATGTAATGCAGTGGTTCTGGCATGGAAAATTTTCAGATCAGATTTCTTGAAAAATATTAAAAATATTATTAGACGAGGGCGGATCTGTTTTGAGGTGGATGTGAGAGGAGGCAAGCAATTTTTTTCTGGATTACCTTCAGTACAACTCGCATAATAAAAGAATAGATCCCTAGATTTGGGTGAAGTCCGGAACATTATCAAAATTGCAAAAATGTTTAAAAAAATTTAAAAAATACCTATTTTATCTGAGTTTTTTACTTATATCTTGGAACCTATGCATTTTGGAAGAATATTGAAATGGAAAAAAGTTTTAGAATTGAATTTTGCACAATATACTGCAAGTTAAAAATATTTAAATTTATTACCGATGTTGCAAAATAACAATAATTGATGAAAAATAGGCAAAATAATCGGTTTTTTGGATAATTTTTAAAAAATATTTTAATTGCTCCGAGGGTATTCTAATTTTGGAAAAAAAACTTTAGAGTATAATAAAATAACACACCAAATTTCATTAAAATCGGTTCGATAGTTTTCGCAAAATAATTTTTTGAAAAAATTTTCGAATTTTCAAATTGTTGCACAGCCTCAAATAAAGCATCTAGATACATCAAATTTTTTTCACATAGAAATTACCACTCAACCTTTCAAATGGTTTTTGAAAAATTGAAATCGGTTGATTAGGACGGTCACAGTAAATTTTTAAAGTTAACACTCTTTTTTTTAACAATTAGATTACATTTATCAATTTGCAATTTAGTTTTTTTAAAATTATAATTTTTTTTACCAAAATTAGAATGCCCTCGGAGCAATTAAAATAATTAACCAAAAAAAAAATTATTTTGCCTTTTTTCATCAATTATTGCTATTTTGCAACATCGGTAATAAATTTAAACATTTTTAACTTGCAGTATATTGTGCAAAATTCAATTGTAAAACTTTTTTCCTTTTCAATATTCTTCCAAAATGCATAGGTTCCAATATATAAGTTAAAAAACTCAGATAAAATAGGTATTTTTAAAATGTTTTAAACATTTTTGCATTATTGAAAATGTTCCGGACCTCGCCCGGATCTAGGGATCTACACTTTTATTACGTTTGTACTAAGGTATTCCAGCAAAAATTAGCTTGCCCCCTCTTACATCCAAGAATGCCCTGGTCTATATAAATTTTAATAATTGTCAGAGAAGACATTCTATTTTATT